TTACTCTATGTCGATTAATGTGATTCAAAACAATGTAATTTTAAGTGATCATTTGATAGCACACACAATGATGACCAAACACATTTACTTTAAAGAAAATATGCAGTCAAAGTTATCATGATAGGAAAAAATCATCATTTAATAAACTTTAACACAATTAGTAATCACTAATACTTGGCACATGATGCATGTTTATAAAACAATAATAATCACTGGAGATACTTGTACACTTTCAGTGGTTTGGAAAGAAGTTGCCCCACATAGAGATTGTTCTCATCATCCACACATACACTAAGAGGAAACTCTACCCCTTGTTGTCGTGTGATTAATAGAGACAAGAACAGACCGTCCTGATCAAGGAGATGAACTGTGTTATTTTCATATTGTCCATCAACCACCAGGATGTGACCGAGGACATCAGTACAGATTCCATAGGGAGTGAACCCTGACCTCCTGACCTGTGTAGGAGAACCTGTGTTGTCCTGATTTATTCACCACCACTACTGCCTCCGTATTAATGTCTGATGTACAGATATCTCCATTGATGTTTTCTGTGATGTTAAATGGATAATTATAAAGTTCCTGTCCTTTGTTATTCCTCTGTATGTTCTGTAGTTCTTTTCCTGTCTTGTTGTACCTGGTGACTTTAGCCTCTTCTTCTGTCTCCATCCCCACCAGTAAGTCCCCGTTGATGTTGGAGGAGTGTATGCTGAGTGGTTCCCAGTCTCCAGTTTTAATGAATTCAGTGATATTGTTATCCTGTGTTATCCTTTTAATAACATTCTTGTTTAGGTCTGTAAAAATCAGATCCCCATCTTGTGTGACAGTGTGATAACCATATCCACCACAGGTTTTTATCTTCTGTATCACATTCCCCTGTAGATCTGTTTGGACAAGATTACTGTCATCATCACTGATCCAGAGTCTGTCTGATTGATCTAGTGATACGTGATATACATCATCAACACCTGGTACATTGAACTCCTTGACCTTTTTGACAGAGGCAGACAGAGACAATGTTTGTTTCATGTCAGATTTCTTTCTGTTTTCTTTCTTCATCTGTTTATGAGTAGATTTCATTTCTGTGTTGTTAACACTTTCCAAGGACTTGATTTCTCTCTTCTCTCCTTCGGTGTTGGGGACATGTATTTTACCAAGTAATTTTGAGACATCACTTTTGCTGTACTGACCAGCAGTAAATCCCGGTATGATTGGTTTTGTTGTCTCTGGTATGGATCGAATGTTTGTCTCCTTCTCGAAGAGTAATTTCTGGGGCTCTGTCGAGGACAGGCACCTGTGGAGCTCTTTGGCAAGGTTATTAAGATAAATGATGTAATCATTAAATGTCTTGTCTTGGGCTTTTAGATCTTCTAACAGTGAATGCTCTGTTTCATCTATTTGCTTCATGTTCTCAGATACGACAGTGTCCACCAGACTTTTCAGGGTTTCGCCTTCAGTCTTCATGGATGTTCTGATGTTGTCCATGATCTGTTTGATTTCCGAGGAATCTTTTTTAATTTCTTTCTGTAAACTTTCTGATGTAGGGAGAAAGTACTCGAGGATTTTAGAGATTTCTTCTTGATAGACTGTGTATTTTTCTGCATAAACCGTTTCCAGATCAGTAAATAAATGCCCCCTATGTTCTTTTTGTGTGACGCATTTGGAACACACCGGAACTTGGCATTCTTCACAGAGCATGTCTACATCTTTAGTGGGGTGGATCTCACATTTCTCCACAGGAAGCTGTCTTTTGCGTTGCTGGTAAAGGACCACCTCATGGTTTTTCTTTTGGGGATTTTTTAGATGTTCTCCTTTACATTGTTTGCATAATTTTAAATGACAATTATTGCAGTAGAACTCACAGTTTCCTTCACATTCTTCCATCTCACACTCCAAAAAATGCTGGGCTCGGAGAGGAATATCCATTTTGGATAATGCCATCTAAAGAGATAAATATCGTGTATAAAAGTATGAGAAAAATTGTACAAATCCTTTTTTATGAAGAACATATCTTCGTAAATACATGTTTATACATCAATTGATGAATAATACTATTTTAATTTTAGACTATAGGTACAAATTCATTTTTTTTAAATTCTATATTTTCTTCGAAAATATGTAGGCCTAGATAATAAAGTTTTCGTTTCTCTGGCAAACAAACAGAAACTATCTAGGTTTCTATTCTTCTAAAACTGACATTACACTTGTCAAAATGTCATTGGCTTAACATGTATAATCATAACACACATCCAGTTTAAATGGAATTTGTGCAAAATATGAAATTTCCACTTTTTAACGATTTAACACGAATTTTGCACTTTTCCTACCAATGAACATTGAAGAAGAACAAAATGAAAACTTGATCTGATCTTATCAAGGTAATCAAGGTCCACTCACATATAAATAAATCAGCTCTCTGAATATATAAAAAAAAAATTGCGGAAAATCAAGTGAGACAGACAGAGACTGAGAGAGAGAGTCACATAGGCAGAGAGGCAGACAGATTTATAATATGAAGTTAAACTGTTAAAGAAATTATATGTAACTTTCGTTTTCGAGGGGCGGGGCTATAATTATCTGCAAATGTTTGTACTGTGTCATTCTAGATGCATTCAAATTAAATCCCAAAGCATCTGTAAATTCATAAAAAGATATTTTAAATAAACGAAATATATTTATACCTACAGTGTTCTTTTCGTGATTGACCTTCTAATGATTTGTTGACAGACTGGCTTAGGAATGTCAGGACGAGAATCCAGGTGAGACTACTTGAACGAGATCTGTAATTTACTTCCTGGTTGGAGATAATATAGATGTCAATTTAAATACGGACTTGCTCAGGATATCAAATGTAAATAATCGTATACCGTGCTGCATGGTTGATTTGGGACCATTTAAATTTTTGTGCGCAATACCATTAATATACATGTTAAACACAATAAATGGTTTTGCTAACATTTTTTATGAAGAGCATATCTTATACAATCAATAGATAAATCTTGTGACTGAAAAATTAAAATATTTTTAGGAAATGGATATCTGATCCTTTGAATCAAAAATAGCTCATTATAAGGTTGTCAGTTCCTCCAATAAAAAGCAGAAGTTAATGTTTATGAATTTGTGTGTGTTCACAAATCTATCAGTGGCGGATCAAGGAATTTCGTAACGGAGGGCGTAGCAGAAGGCGGGGTGGGGTGGCTGTACGGAAGCCCCAAGTGTGTGTAAGGCAAGGTCTTAATTTTTTTTTTTTTTTTGGGGGGGGGGGGGGGGGGGGTGTCCGGGGGCGAAGTCCATGGAAGCTGACAACATCTTACAAATAAGAGATGTTTTTCCTTGATTTTAGGAAAATGGACATACAAGTTTTGAACACTAAAATTTTGAAATGGGAATGGGGGGAGCACCGGTCCTGGATCCACCTTTGTCTAATTTATTTTTAAATGGATGCCACAATTAGAAAAATACACTGGTATTTTTTTCAATACCGGGTATTATATAATGGAAATGTAATTTAGAAAGCAACAGGAGTTTTTTTTACAGTATACAGTACTATAATCACACTTATTAGGCCCCACAAATCCTAGCCCATGTATTAAGTATAAATATATATTGCATGATTAAAGTGTTCATAAAAATACAGGGTCAAATGTGTATTTAAAATAAATCAATATGAAAACCTGAGTAAAGAAAACTTATTGGTGCTTCATCTCTTTTCATTGTAAGCACAAATTGTTCTTTCATCAGTAACTATTCACTTTAAAAAAAAAAAATAATCACATGTTTACATTATTTATTAGTTCACCTTTTCATCAATACAATAATAAAAAAAACACTGAGACAAAGTTCAATCAAAATATTCCTCTAATCTGTTTTTTCAAGCGCCTTCATTCTCTCTAACAGAGGGGGGTGGGAGAAGTTAAACATGGAGTACAGCCAGTCCGTGACCGGAAATCCTAGATTGTCTTTATCGAGTTTGACTAGAGCCGATTTCAGCTCCTTGGCATGCCTCAGAGACTTGGCAAAGAAATCCGCCTGGAACTCACAATGTCGGCTAAAGATTATTATCAGGAATCCCATAATCGGAAAAAAAAAATTTCTCAGAGTGTACGAGATATATGCATGCATTTCTCATTCAAGTCTGTGTAATTTTTTCTCCAGATAAAACATTAATTTTTTCCATCCTTAAAAATAGCATAAAACCAATTTATATTTATACCAATTTAAAACAAATTTATTTTGAACTCATGATCAACCATATTACTACACAGGCAACTTAGCCACATATGATTCTCATATGACTATCATATGATTCTCATATGATTGGTTTCATATGAGAATCATAGAAAAAGGGCATCATATGTGAATCATATGAAGCAAATCATATGATTTACATATGATCCACATATGTGAATCATATGAAAATAACTACATATGATTCACATATGAATGTTTAAAGTGTGTTTCAAGCCATTTACATATGAGAATCATAAGAAAAGGGCATCATATGTAAATCATATGAAACACTTATGTGTGTTTCAAGCCATTTACATATGAGAATCATATGAAAATAGCATCATATGTAAATCATATGAAAAACTTATGTGTGTTCTCCTTAAATATTTTTCACATTCTTGTACACATTCATAAATCAGATATTTATGCTTTAGATGAAAATTCATTACATTACAATGATATATCTTCATTGGTTACAAATTTTAAAATATCTTATAATGCTTACACAACTTTTTTGATAAAATTACTTTCATCAAGAGAAATAACTTATTTTTGACAGTGTACTTTCTAAACTAGAAAATATACAAACAAGTCAGTAGTATTTGTCGATACATGTATTTAACATATTCTAAAATGAGTACAAATTATAAGATTTCAGCAAAATGATTGAGTGGTTAAATGTTTATACATGTACAAATGAATAACATTATTAGGTCATGAACTTGTATAAAAATACCATATGACATGAAAGTGTCCACAGCAAAATTGAAATATCAGCAACAACATCTGCCATGTATTCTCTATTGTAAATTTATGAAAAATCAAGTTATTTGATAGTCCAGCATACAAATAAGAATGGAAAATCTTAACAGGACAAATTCAGACAAAATTGTGTACATCCTCCCCATTTCATAATTATTCCATATATTTCCTTGTTCTTTTTCCATCTGTATCTTTCAATATTTTCAGTTGTCCTCCCTCTGATCTGACCATTTTGAAAATCTCTTTGAACTGTACCAAAAATGCAAATCCACCAGTTCTCCCCTTCCTAAACTATTTCTTTGTGGCACAGAATGGTCTCTACAAAAATTTCAAAAATAAAAATAAAATGATTCTAAAATTACAAAATCAATTCTACAAGTGAAGTTATATTAAAGTAACTTATCATCAGCAAACAAATGTATTCCCAATTCACCGACACAGATATGATATGAGATAAAACTATTTTTTATATGTTATACAAGGTGTTTTTTGGAATCCTATGATGTAAATTGCAAGACAATTACACTGTTGGAAGATATGCTTCATAATAAAATTATAAAAAACATCTTTTTTTATTTTGACAATTGAATTGAATTTTGCAAGACAATTACACTTTTGGAAGATATGCTTCATATTAAAATCATTAAAAAGCAATTTTTTTAATTTTGACAATTGAATTTGGAATGTTCAAATAGTATATATTCATTCAAATTGCCAAAAATTAAGAAGATTATGACACAAATAGGCAGAAAAAACAGACTTTGTGATTCCAGGATATCCCAGACTTTGTTGGGAAGAATATAACAAAGTCTATTAAACAGTGTGTAGTTACCTTAACTTTGAAGCAAGCCTTGGATCTGTGGATTTTTTCTTATGAGAGGCTGACTGTATATTGAACCTGTAAAACAAATATTCACACAGTAGATATTTCCTAAGCATGACTAAAACTTAAACTACAAAAAGAGAGAGTACAAGTTTGTAGGTTCTCAATTGTCCTAAATATCTTACAATTCACCTGAAAGTAGGTTCTCTAGTGTTGGAAAAAAATTTATAAATGTCAATGAATACATAGATGTAAATATTCAATGGATTAGCTATCTGATGTACTTTCAACACATAGTCACATGCACATGCACATGTATTTGTACCTTGAAAGTTAAATTGCCACTGTTATTATTATTTTTTTGCTGAAATTCAAAAATTCAATTTACTTTACCCCCTGAAGTAATTGTATAGTTTCATAGATTTTAAAGCAAGAAAATTCTATTCATACTTTCCATATTTTAAAAGTGCATTTACAATTAAAATTGTTTCATAATGTAGAATAAAACTTCTATATTACTGAGTTGAATTTATTTTTGATGAAGCCGTGCAAACAATGTAGAATTATAAAGGAACAAAAAGAAATTATCAAGAAATATTTTGTCATAAAGGAGTCATTACAGATGTACACTTTCATTTTTTATTGCAATATTTTTTACCTTTAATACTGTGATGATGCAATCGTCTGTCAGAATCAGCTTTAGGATCAATCGCCAGTCTTATCAGCTTTGGGCTTCGTGGACTTCATAAAAAAGCTGCACTGTGACAGTGAACTCAAGTTGAATGCATCTATAGGCCATAAAAACAAACATTTGTCATTAAGTTGATGAAAGAATCGATTTGATAAACGATCTCAACATATAAAACGCCAACTGCTATACAGGGTTTCTACTTCAGTACGTAACAAAAGTCAAAACAAAAAGATGCCTTTAGCCTAACATGTAAATTGTAATGTTTACATCCAATGAGTAACAAATTTATCCAAAATATACTTACAGATCACTAACATTATGTAGGTTTGCGAAATGCATTAATTAAACAATTACAAGTGATGAGAGTATTATAAAAATAAGTTCATACGAACCTGTAACCGTAATGAAAGGATATTTAAACAATATGAATTAAAGGTCTTTATAAAAAATTGTTAGGAGATAACTTACTTTTTCCAACACCCCGCACTTCTGCTGCAGCAGTGACGTCAAACATGACGTACACTTTCATCCGATAAAAGTCGAAACCGGTCCGGAAAAAAATACGGAATGATTTTGATTTTACTCAAGTAATAAACCAAACCCAAAAGATTTGAAATAAAAAGCAAATTAATTTATTCTTTATCAATTATATCTGCGAAATGCATTATTACAGAAAAAAATTGTGAACTTTTTTTTTTAAGGGAAAGGGGGGGGGTGTTGAACAGAGTAGAACTTTACATAAGTAATTGCTAACAAATTCTTTTGAATTAATGTAAATTTAAATTACTATTGATATATATTATTGAAATTGCAATTTTACTTGCATATACCAAAGGGCAAATTAGTGAACACTGTTTCATATGATTCTCATATGATCACTGTTTCATATGATTCTCATATGATCACTGTCCAAATATTCATATGATTTTTACCTTTTTACAAGGGCAAATTAGTGAATATGGTTTCATATGATTCTCATATGATCAGTTTCATATGATTCTCATATGACAACTGTTAGTATATACATATGATTCTCATATGCAGGGCCCTTCATATGAGAATCAACTTTTCTTTATCGAGGGGCGGGGTTGAAATTATCTGTAAAAATACAAGTCAATGTACCGTTTTAATTTATCCAAAAGCATCTATAAATCACCAAATCATACATGTAATTTATAAAGAAAGATTATAAATAAATATATTTTTATACTTAAGTTATATCTCTGAATGACATATAATGATTGACCCGTAAAATGACTGTTGACAAATCTGCTGGAATGTTAGGCCGAGAACCTAGGTGAGACTTGAACGAGATCTGTAGACTGTAATTTACTTAGTCTCGTTCAACCAGACGCTCGGCTGTCTCCGTGAACTCTGACCAGCCTCTGGGTGGTCGGAGATTTACGGAGACAGCCGAGGGTCTGGTTGAACGAGACTATAATTTACTTCCTGATTCGAGATAAATATAGAATGATATCTATTTAAATACTGACATACTTTACTATACAGGGGATATTGATCGTAAATTTAATTTAAACAATATTTTATTCACTGATGTTGTCGTGAATAGGATTTGGCAGCAGACGCAGCCTATTTTAGCCCTCTCCCTACGTTTAGGTCAAGGTATAGAACAAAAAGTAATAATAAAAGAATGCACAAAGGAAGAGAAAAAAAAACACAACCAAAAAATCATTAATGAACAAAGTAACATAGAGAAAATAAATACAGAAAAAGTCATATAAAGAAAAATTGTACAAAAGAGAAAAATAGAATAAACAAAATAATAAAAACGGCGAATTACACGGAGAAAAAACAAAATACAAAGTAGTACCGGTTTAAGGGAGTATTTCTAACAAATTATATTGATCGTAAATGATTGTATATCTTGCTATTAACTAACTAGAAGTTAAGCTAACAATGGACTCATAATGTAGAATGATTTAAAACAATCAATATATATACCACAGGCACTTGTTTCTGTAATAAATTTTTGACCCATGGTATAATAATAACACGTGTTATTATTATACCATGGGTCAAAAATTTATTACAGAAACAAGTGCCTGTGATATATACATAATTGTCGTAATTCAATCTCAATGGGTCAACCTCAATATAATTGGGTATGTAGTCCCTATGCGGAAGCTTTATATATAAAAGTGGTGATTCGGTTCTACTGTCGACCGGGGACAGTTGACAGTTAACCATTTCTACTGTCGACCGAGGACAGTTGACAGTTGACATTAACAATTTCTACTGTCGACCGGGACCAGTTGACAGTTGACATTTAATCATTTCTACTATCGACCGGGGACAGTTGACAGTTGACATTTAACAATTTCTACTGTCGACCGGGGACAGTTGACAGTTGACATTATCCATTTCTACTGTTGACCGGGACCAGTTGACAGTTGACATTTAACCATTTCTACTGTCGACCAGGGACAGTTGACAGCTGACATTTAACAATTTCTACTGTCGACCGGGGACAGTTAACACTTGACATTTAATCATTTCTACCGTCGACCGGGTACAGTTGACATCTAATCATTTCTATTGTCGACCGGGGACAGTTGACAGTAGTTAGTCGCGCATATATAACTGTGATTAGGGTTATTCACGCATTTATGACTGTGATTAGGGTTAGTCTCGCATTCATAAGTGTGATTAGGGTTAGTCTCGTATTAAAAGCTGTAATTGAGTTTAGTCTCGCATTAATTGCTGTGATTAGGGGAAGTCTTGTATTTATAGCTGTGATTAGGGTTAGTCTCGTATTAAAAGCTCTGATTAGGGTTAGTCTCGTATTATTAGTTGTGATTAGGGTTAGTTTCGCATTTATGACTGTCGATAGTAGATCATATGGAAAGTGTCAACTGTCAACCGTCTACCTACCTCCAGTCGACACTAGAACACAAGGGAAGTGTCAACTGTCAACCGTCGACCTGTCCTCGGTCGACAGTAGATCATATGGAAAGTGTCAACTGTCAACCGTCGACCTGTCCCCGGTCGACAGTAGATCATATGGAAAGTGTCAACTGTCAACCGTCGACCTGTCCCCGGTCGACACTATAGAACACAAGGGAAGTATCAACTGTCAACCGTCGACCTGTCCCCTGTCGACATTAGAACACAAGGGGAGTGTCAACTGTCAACCAACGACCTGTCCCCGGTCGACATTAGAACACAATGGGAGTGTCAACTGTCAACCAACGACCTGTCCCCGGTCGACATTAGAACACAATGGGAGTGTCAACTGTCAACCAACGACCTGTCCCCGGTCGACATTAGAACACAATGGGAGTGTCAACTGTCAACCAACGACCTGTCCCTGGTCGACATTAGAACACAATGGGAGTGTCATCTGTCAACCAACGACCTGTCCCCGGTCGACATTAGAACACAATGGGAGTGTCAACTGTCAACCAACGACCTGTCCCCGGTCGACATTAGAACACAATGGGAGTGTCATCTGTCAACCAACGACCTGTCCCCGGTCGACATTAGAACACAATGGGAGTGTCAACTGTCAACCAACGACCTGTCCCCGGTCGACATTAGAACACAATGGGAGTGTCAACTGTCAACCAACGACCTGTCCCCGGTCGACATTAGAACACAATGGGAGTGTCAACTGTCAACCAACGACCTGTCCCCGGTCGACATTAGAACACAATGGGAGTGTCAACTGTCAACCAATGACCTGTCCCCGGTCGACATTACAACACACGGGAAGTGTTAACTGTCAACTGTCAACCGTCAACTTATCCCTGATCGACAGTAAATCCATGTGTGGAATGTAGAAATAATAAACTCCGTAACATTACTTAAATATACAGTGATGTATGAATATGTTAATATTGTTTCAGTCAAAGTACTACTTTATCCTTATATTGGAGTTGTATTTTTTAGAAAATGCATATCTAACCATTTAAATTAAATATATCTCCTGGTAGGATAATCCTGCGATTTTTTTATTTAAAAAAAACAGCAATTAAGGTCACAACAATAACATATTTTTTTTCGGACCCGCACTCTCGTATTTATACAAAAGTATACAAATAAAATTAATTTAATTTTGCCGCACTATGGGAATTTATTCGGTGCTATTTCGTATTCCATTTCCGCTCTATTTGTCGTATTTTTAATCTGCTTACTCTGCAAATTTGAACAAATATAATTTTCTGCTCAAATTTTTTCGCGTTCCGCCTTTACGTTTTGGTCCACAAAAAATTTACAAGTTTAAGAGGCACATGGCCACATCGCTCACCTGAGCACTGTGACTAGGAAAAAAGCAGAAATCAGTTTATTTTTGAAAAATTTAGTCCCAAAACTGGTCCCAACTAATCCTTAAAGGGGAGAGGATGTGATTTTAACAAACTTGAATTTACACTAACTAACGATGCTTGCATATTTCTTTGACCACCTGTGGCTTTATTGCCCTTTACATTTGAATTTACATTATGGCCCCGCCCTACCCCAGGGGTCATGAATTCAACAAACTGAAAACTTCGGTAACTGAGAATGCCTCCATATACACATGACTATTCATGGCTTTGCCATTCTTGGGAAGATTTCTTCCTCCTACCTGATCCTACCTGAGGATACTTCCATATAAATACGATTGTTGCAACCACTATTGAAATAACGACCACTATTGAAATTATTATATCAATAGTGGTTGAGAGTGTAATAACCACTATTGAAATACAACCACTATTGAAATAATTATATCAATAGTGGTTGAGAGTGTATTTCAATAACAGACATAGTTAGTAACCACTATTGAAATACAACCACTTTTGAAATAATTACTTCAATAGTGGGTGAGAGTGCATTTCAATAACAAACATAAACTGTTTAATAGTAACCACTATTGAAATACGAGCACTACTGTAATAATTATTTCAATAGTGAGTGAGAGTGCATTTCTTTATAAAAAAACATAGGTTTCAACAACTTTTGAAATACAAGCACTACTGAAATAATTATTTAATAGTTTATGAGAGTGCATTTCTATATAATAAACATAGGTTTCAACCACTTTTGAAATACAAGCACTTCTGAAATAATTATTTAAAAGTGGGTGAGAATACATTTCAATATGGGAACCATAGGTTTCAACCACTATTGAAATAAAACCAGTATTGAAAGAAGTTTCACCGCGTCAGCAACTTTGGAAATAATTATTTCTATATATCGAATTCATTGTTCAAAACACTATTGAAATCAATAATTTTATCCATATTGAAATCTTCATTTCAAAAGTGAATATAATTTCAATAGTGGTTGCAACCTGTGTTTGTTGTTGAAATGAATCTCACCCACTTTTGAAATAATTATTTCAATAGTGGTCGTATTTCAATAGTGGTTATTACCTATGTTTTTTATTGAAATGAAATCTCAACCACTATTGATATAATTATTTCAATAGTGGTTGTATTTCAATAGTGGTTATTACCTATGTATTTTATTGAAATGCACTCTCAACCACTATTGATATAATTATTTCAATAGTGGTTGCATTTCAATAGTGGTTACTAACTCTGTTTGCTATTGAAATGCACTTTCAACCACTATTGATATAATTATTTCAATAGTGGTCGTTATTTCAATAGTGGTTGCAACATACGATTATTCATGCACTTGCTATTCTTGAGAAGGAGATTTTTAATGAATTTCTCCATGTATTTATATGTAAAACATTTACCCGCCGAAGTGGCCCCGCCTTACCCCCAGGGTCATAATTTGAACAAATTGGAATCTACACTACCTGGGGATGCTTCCATTAAAAAAATGATCATTAATGCCATTGCTATTCTTGAAAAGAAGATTTTTAAAGAATTTTTCTATATATTTCTATGTCAGCCATTTTGGCCCTGCCCTACCTCAAGGGGTCATGATTTGAACAAACCTGAATCTACACTGCCTGAGAATGCATCCCTATGTTTCATCTTTCCTGACAGAGTGGTTCTTGAGAAGATTTTTAAAGAATTTTCCTACATATTTCTATGTAAAAATTTGATTGGCCATTTGCGGCTCGCCCTATGCCCAGGAAACATGATTTGAAGAAACTTGAATCTACACTACCTGAATATGCTTCCATATAATAAATATGATCATTCATGCCTTTGCTATTTAGGAGAAGATTTTTCAAGAATTTCCCTATCTATTTATATGTAAAACTTTGGTCGGCCACTGTTGCGTCGCCCTACCCCAAGGGGTCATGATTTGAATAAACTTGAATCTACACTACCTGACAATGCTTCCCTATAAGTTTCATCTTTCCTGGCACAATGGTTCTTGAAAAAAAGATTTTTAAAATATGCCACCAAATTATTATTTCTGAATTATCTCCCCTTGAATAAGGGCGTGGCCCTTCATTTAAACAAACTTGAATCCCCTTCATCTAAGGATACTTTGTGCCAAGTTTGGTTGAAATTGGTCCACTGGTTTTAGAAAAGTCAAAAATGTGAAAAGTTTACAGACAGCTAGACGGACACCAGACAAAATGTGATCAGAAAAGCTCACTTGAGCTTTTAGTTCAGATGAGCTAATATTATACGGTAATTTTACTGCTAATATTTATGATCATTCTACAGGTTCATTAAATGGCCATCTTTGCCACATTTTGGTGTCTAAACCTTAAACCTATGGGACATTAGATTCAGTTTCAGTAAAAGATTAACTGTTGTTATGTACCAAAAAAACACTACTATATTTTTGTAGTATAACAAGATTTCTTAGGCCCCAAGGATGACAAGACATGAAAATGTACTTGTGGTAGGAATGAAGTCTCTGACAATGACTTGTTTAAAAAATGCATGATAAAAGTGTTGATAAAAGTACAGAGTAATGTCCATAAAGATATTTTGAGTAAAAATATCTATTCATGATATTGACACTCTGTGCCTGTTCATTGTAAGCAAAAATTCTTCTTTCATCAGTCACTTCTTCCTTTTAAAAAAATTAATCACCGGTTTACATAATTTTATTCGTTCACCTTTTCATCAATACAATAAAAAAAACATAAAGACAAAGTTCAATCAAAATATTCTTCTAGTCTGTCTTTTCTAGCGCCTTCATTCTCTCTAACAGAGGGGGGTGGGAGAAGTTAAACATGGAGTACAGCCAGTCCGTGACAGGAAATCCTAGATTGTCTTTATTGAGTTTGATTAGAGCTGATTTCAGCTCCTTTGCATGTCTCAGAGACTTCGCGAAGAAATCTGCCTGGAACTCACAATGTCGGCTGTAGATTATCATCAGGAATCCCAGAACCTGAAAATAAAAAAAAATTATTTATTATTTATTAATTATTATTTAATTTACAACTTTATAATTTATTATATAATTTAAACATTCATCAATCAAACTTAGACAATTAATTGCATTTTTATTTTTTCAAAAATAATTTTTTTTATGTCCTTAAAAATAGCATAAAACCAATGGAACAGCTTTTATTTGGCACATGTGATCAATTACTTTATCGGATACTTTCCTTGGTTTAACTTTAATCTTGTAAACTTCATGTATAAACAATGCATATAGTCCATATATGTTTCTCGGTACAGAATAAATTCTGTTTACCCAAATATAGTTTACAAATCAAGCTACTCTGAAGTCAGTTATGTTACTGTGGAAACATTTTGTAATTGCCAAAAAAGGTCCTACAATATACGTATCAATCCAGGCATACATCATCTGTCTTAAACTTGTTAATTCATTTCTCCATATTGATTCAATGAAGAACAAGGGTGCATAACTGACCAAGTCTTGCCTCAATACCTCTATCAGGATTTGGACACTTTTCACAAGTCAATACATACCTCGTGATAGGGCTGGAAGATGAACTGGAATATGATCATCAGACCTATAAGTGTTGGCTCTGTGTCAAATCCAAACGCCCGGTAAATCACTACTTTCTTAGATAACATGGCAAACACCATGAAACAAAGAAACAAGTTTAACTGAAAAATTAAAGAAAAACTTTTAAGACTTTTTACTTATGGTACACATTCCATTTCAGATGTAAATTTTACTCAAATTATTTCATTCAATCAGCACTGGGAATGTTGTAATTTAGTTTCCTACATCAAAATTATTTGTTTCCTAAAGGCCAGACCAGTTAATTCATTATGGTTTTTAAATCACTTAAATCCATACTAGACATGACAAGAATATCCATTTAAAAGTAAACAATCAATACAAAAATAAATCTTCTTTTTTAGAATTTAATTTTGTCACAAGAATGTTGATGAATGTAGAGAAAATTTAAACACAAAAATTTCATTGATTGATATTTTCCCTCTTCAATATATGACAAATTGAATTTAACATACCTGACTAATAAAGAAATTCTTTAGGACATGGTTAAGTTTCCAGTGCCCTAACTCATGAGCTAACACAGCCAGGATTTCCTCTGTATTACATCCTGTCTTCTTCTTTGGCTTCTCCTCTGCTGGCTTTTCTTCAGATTCTGGTTCTTCTGTCACCTCCTTTTCTTCTTTTGACTCTGTCTGTAAAGGAATGCCATCATGTTTACAAATTTTGCACAGGGTAAAAAGCGGCAATATTATATTCAAAACAAGTTTTTTTTCTTTGAAAGAAGGCTTATACAAATACATGTACATGAAAGTACAGTTTATAATACAATTGTGTGATCAATTTAAATTATTAATTTATGCAAAATAATCCTTTGTCAAAGATTTCATAAACAAAATTGTCTGTGATAATTACATCTAGAACCTTTACAGTTTCCACATATAAAAAGCCGTTAGATTAAAAAAAAACCTGGATTCACATTCATAGATTGATTTGAACATATTTTATTGTAATTTCAGTTCTAGATTCTTATCACATGTTTTTTAAATTATACTGTGCAAATTTTATTCTTCATCTTTTATTCGTGTTCACTTACAATGTATTGTGCATTTTTTGGATGTGACTGATTGTTGGAGATTTATCTTATATCTGAATGAAAGTGGCTGAGTTTCATTGAATGTACATTTTTCTCACTTTTCAGTCTCACCAATCTAACCAGTGGTCCTTGTTTGTTACTTTGTTTGAAACCAAACCTTGTCAGATTTCAAAATAGACCATTTCACAGTAACTGCAGTACTGCTGTTTTGCAGGGGAAAATGATACACTGTATAGTTTGGTGAAATATGATGTAAAAGTAATTGTTAAAGATACATCATTTACTTATCTATCAACAAAAACTTCGCCATATGTTTTTATTTTGCCCTGCAAAAGTGTAGTACCTCAGTTACTGTGAAAGGGCTAATTACACCAAAATTTGCGGAATAAAAAAATATAAGAGAGTTGAAGGATTTAGCTGTATACCGATTTCCATCAGAAGTAAGACAAATTCAATAAGTAAAAACAAAATCCAAACAAAACAACAACAAAAAAATAATGATGCCACCTTTATAGTTAAAAATCTGGGCAAGCAGGGATGAAAATCTAGGTATTTTTTAATCCTAGCTTCACCAAAAGAAAGGGCTAATTAAGGAATGAATTAAAAAGCAACCCAAATTGTACTGTACTAGGTTGGAGCAGTTTACACTTTATAAACCACGAAGCAGTTTTTAAACAAGACGCCTTCAAATTGTTCATATTTTAAACGTAACGTCAAGCGGATTGAAGTCATTGTGATATAGGCAACCCAGGTTATACAATATAGATTAATTTTTTTATCCAATCAAATGACGCGTTTACAACCAAATTTAAATTATTGACATATGGATACATACCTTTTCCTCCTCCTTTTCTGGAGAGTAGTCTTCAATAAGTGTGTCATACAGCACAATCCTTTTATTCTTAAAGAATCCATAAAAATAAGCATTGCTGTGAGCTGAGCGCTTAGATCCTGAAAAAGATAGTTATAGGACTACAAATATACATGTACAGTTAGTTAACATTAATCTACATTCATTCTTTTCAAATATTTATTTAGCACATTATGTAAAATAATCAAAGGTTACTACTTATACTATGCAAATATCATGCACAATAGAGACATTTAATGACATAATATCTTCATTTTAATTAGAGCCAAGTAGAAAATACAAGTAGTTGATCAGGAGTTTTTACATGATTTTCAGTTAAAAAATAAAGCCAGTATAATTCTAATATGAGAGTCATATGCTTCTCGAAAACAACATGAAAAGAATCAAATGTATTGTTATGGTGATCTATATTTTCTGCTATTACTTCTTTAACATTTTTAGGTATACACTCTTGTATATATTTCTCCTCACCTTCCACAACATAGAGTTTTGTGAGGGGGAATTCAATGCTTGCTGCCAGCTGCTCAATCTTAGTCCTCAGTTCCCCGTCAGGCAAAGGAGTGAACTTATCAAACAGTGGAGCAATGAAGTCAGCATAAATGGTGATCAGAAACTAAGGGACAAGAGACAGAATATGAAGTGATAAAATACATTTAATTTGGCTTGAAAAATTGCTGATTCAGAAATGGATTTTGAATTTTCATTTGTACTCAGATTAAAAGCTTTGCTTGTTGTCTTTCAAAATAATCTAATGCAAAGCACTTAAAATGAAGAGGGATGTATCCAGGGATTTTACATGGAGCACATCACGGGTGTGAGTGGATGTCAAAGGATGGTCACTCCTCCATGGCATCAGATCCCACCTCTGATGTATTCAAAGGACCATGTTTCCTCTGCACTCAATTTGTTTTGTTTGAGCTTAATTAATGTTCATTATCTTATAATAAAATTTCATTCCGACATCAACTCAACACATTTTTCAAAGGAATGAGAAAAATTTACATAAAACTAAACCAAAATCCAGTGAGTATCTCGATGAACTGAAAACCTTGAGTCATTCCTAAATATATTAGGCATAATACCAGTGACACGGCCAGCATGAATCCCCAGGCGTAGATGAAGAAATAGTCGCCGCCAATCTTGATGATGTAGATTAGAAGGGAGACAATGGGTAGAGACAGCGCCATGCCTACAAACATCTTCTTAATCGTGTCCTTGATGAAAAATGGCAAGGTCTGAAAATAATGAAAAGTTCAGGGAAAGATGTATGAAATAATTCTACACTAAAAATCTTACATAAAATGTGAAAACAGATTTCAAGTTTTCTTTGTGAAATTATTGCAAAGGAAAACGATTAATTAGTAAGGAATCAGAACAGGAAATCACTTGAAGAAATTTGCATTAAGGTAGAATGATCAAGAAATCTACTCTAGTATTTTTCTCAGTGTTATCGCAGAGAAACAAATAGTAATGGAAATATTACTTGATCAATTCAATTTCTATGCTGTCCTTTTGCATTTTTTGTGTTTGAATGATACTCTTCATTCATACCTGTTTATTAAATCCATGCTTCTCCTCTAGAACAAACGTGTGATACAAACTCCAGGGAAGGGAGGTAATCGTGGAATACAGTAAAAATATCAGAATAAATGTGATGGATTGCAAAATCTGGAAATAAAGGAAACTTTGTAATCAAAGTTCATATACATATATGCTATAGCAAGATTAGAAAATATATTCATGGTTCATAATTTGTTTGCTTTGTTCAATGTTGATACATTGAATTCTCTTCCATGGGTCCCAATTTTTACCATTATTATTTCTATTAAATAGGTTTTTTTAAGCTTAGAATTATATGCTCCCTAAGCAAAAATTTTGTTTTTAGTTTAATATGTCAATTTGAAAAGGATCTTTCTCGAGAATTCACATTAACAAAATAAATCAAATTTCAAAATCAGGTTACTATCAAGATATCAAAATATATGATGCATGCACAATATTACCAACTTACACATTCTGTACTTATATATGTAAATTATACATTTTTTGTGTTTATATACTGTATACAGGGAAATTTTCACCCCTTTCTATTTTCACCCTTTTCAAAGATGAGTGAATTTGTCCATGTTAAAAGCCAAGGATGAATTCAAGGAATACAGTATTTCCTAAACAGAATATTGTTTGTGTGAATTTAAATTGGGGGCAAAACTGTTTTCCTTTGTCACTGGGCAAAAATAACCCTATATACAGTGGCTATATTCACCTCATATTCGGCACCATATCCAAAGTGACCATTTATCCTACCAGCTAGTTTCCATACGAAGGGCAGGGCACCAACACACAGAATTACCTAGAAAAGTTGACATTATGATTAACACTTATAATCAAAACAAAATGAATACCATACAATCATACATTAGATAACTTTATTTATCAAAAAATAAGAATCACAAACAATTAATCTGAACCTATCGATGTTGTGGTTTCAATGAAGCACTGGAATTGAACATAAGCAGAGAACTTGTTGAAAACAAGAGGCCCAGGGGCCACAGCGCTCACCTGAGCACATCGGGCTTGAATTTAACCCCCCCCCCCCCCAGGCATTCATCATTTGAACAAACTAGAATCTACACTACCTGAGGATGATTCCATATAAATATCACTAGTCCTAGCTTTGAAATACTTGAAAAGAAGATTTTAAAAATTTCCCTATATATCCCTATGTTAAATTTGGGTCGGCCATTTTGGCCCCACCCTAGCTCCGGGGGTCATGATTTGAACAAATTTGAATCTACACTACCTGAGGATGATTCCACATGAGTTTCATCTTTCCTGGCCCAGTGGTTCTTGAGAAGAAGATTTTTAAAGATTTTTCCTATATATTCCTATGTAAAACTTGGGTCGGCCATTTTGGCCCCACCCTAGCCCCGGGGGTCATGATTTGAACAAACTTTAATCTGCATTACTTGAGGATGATTCCACATGAGTTTCATCTTTCCTGGCCCAGTGGTTCTTGAGAAGAAGATTTTTAAAGATTTTTCCTATATATTCCTATGTAAAACTTGGGTCGGCCATTTTGGCCCCACCCTAGCCCCCGGGGGTCATGATTTGAACAAACTTGAATCTACACTACCTGAGGATGATTCCACATGAGTTCCATCTTTCCTGGCTCAGTGGTTCTGGAGAAGAAGATTTTTAAAGATTTTTCCTATATATTCCTATGTAAAACTTGGGTCGGCTATTTTGGCCTCACCCTAGCCCCGGGGGTCATGATTTGAACAAACTTGAATCTACACTACCTGAGGATGATTCCACATGAGTTCCATCTTTCCTGGCCCAGTGGTTCTTGAGGAGAAGATTTTTAAAGATTTTTCCTATATATTCCTATGTAAAACTTGGGTCGGCCATTTTGGCTCCACCCTAGCCCCGGGGGTCATGATTTGAACAAACTTGAATCTATACTACCTGAGGATGATTCTACATGAGTTTCATCTTTCCTGGCCCAGAGGTTCTTGAGAAGAAGATTTTTAAAGATTTTTCCTATATATTCCTATGTAAAACTTGGGTCGGCTATTTTGGCCCCACCCTAGCCCCCGGGGGTCATGATTTGAACAAACTTGAATCTACACTACCTGAGGATGATTTCACATGAGTTTCATCTTTCCTGGCCCAGTGGTTCTTCAGAAGAAGATTTTTTAAAAATGCCATTAATTTTTCTCTAATTCATAATTATCTCCACTTGGAAAAGGGTGTGGCCCTTCATTTGAATAAACTTGAATCCCCTTCACCCAAGGATACTTTGTGCCAAGTTTGATTGAAATTGGCCCAGCGGTTCTTGAGAAGAAGTCGAAAATGTGAAAAGTTTACAGACAGACGGACAGACAGACAGACGGACAGACAGACAGACGGACGCCGGACAAAATGTGATCAGAAAAGCTCACTTGAGCCTTCGGCTCAGGTGAGCTAAAAACATGATTACAATGAATTAAGTCATGATTCAACCAAAATATTTATTGTTAAACATTCCGTCAGCCCTGTTTTCCTGTCTATTTATTGTTAAACATTCTTTCAGCCCTGTTTTCCTGTCTATTTATTGTTAAACATTCCGTCAGCCCTGTTTTCCTGTCTATTTATTGTTAAACATTCCGTCAGCCCTGTTTTCCTGTCTATTTATTGTTAACATTTCGTCAGCCCTGTTTTCCTGTCTATTTATTGTTAAACATCCCGTCAGCCCTGTTTTCCTGTCTATTTATACATCAGAAATGCAGGCCTGAAATCTTTCTTACCATCGACTCTAGCTGGTGGTAAACACCTGACCAGAAGTCTTAATACATTAGACATGCAGGCCTTTAATCTTCTTTACATTAGACAGGCTGTTGTTAATCTTTCTTACCGTAGACTCCACCTGGTGGTAAATTCCTGACCAGAAGCCAAAGGTACTTTTGTCTAAAGAGTAGAGCCTCGCTTTGGTGAATGTTTCTTGGTCAAGTACTTTTTCTAGCTCTGCTGGAACCTCTGTTACTGTTTTAGCAAGATACTTCTACAAATATACAAAAATTAAAATTACAATTTTTCTAGTTAATTTTTTTTAAGATAACATTTAACTCAAATTTAATTCAGTTAAACCATAATCATAATCTTAATAACATATCAGATAGTATTAGTAGATTTATCCCGGAGACTTGGCAATGGGATAAAAAAAACATGAGTTGTATAAAATTCATATTATTCAACAACAATCATAGGAAACTCTTCTCAAATACAACGTCATGATTGGTCAATTTCTATGGAAGCACTGGATGACCTGGACTGGGTGCTCGCTGCTGACAATGACAGCCACTTACAGATACATTAATAAAATGAGTGTGATTCAAGAATCTAGTATTATCAGGAAACTTGATTACTGCAATAATGACCCAAACATTTTGATACATAGTTTGTTTAGCTGACAACATAAAAACTATGGTGAGAAAATCTATTTTTAAGTGACTGCTCTAAGAATTCATCCTTATGTCAGGGGTTCGAATTCACTGTGGGCCATGGACACAGGTCCTTCGGATGAGACCGTATAAACCGAGGTCCTGTGTCACATTAGGTGTTGGCACGAAGAAAAATCCTGCAATACTCAACCCCCCCGAGCGCCGAGTAAAAGTATACATTTGAAGCCCTCCACGGGCAAGTGGAGGCATCTCCATTTGAGTGGAAAATTATTGAGAGGGACATAAAAGAATATAAAAAAAAATACTAAAAAGGGAAATATTGTATTGGCTGCCATCTCAGTATTCCTGTATATATTTCTATGTCTGAAATAGCTGTGTCAACAGACAGATGTACGAAGTTTCCGCTCTCTTTCTCTCTCGTGTTTGGGATAGTTATGCGGACAAATACTAGCCTAATTCCAATGTCTCATCAGGCAACTTGCTGTTCCGTTTCAGAAAAAAATACCCGTAAAATATTGATTATTGACAAAAGAATATATTTTAAAAACAGCAGATCAGAAATCATTGTAACACCTGTCTTGAGGAAAGATAAGATTCCCAGAAATAAACGATCCAGAGGAATATTAAGACAGAATAAAAGATTTCCTCCTCGCTGAACATCAACATGTTTCTCAATTTTTCTCGCCGCGTTGGAAATAAGATAAAGTGAACCACGATTCCGACTGAAATATAGTAAGCATTGATGTTCATGCTACATAAAATCAGTCATATTTCTCTTACAATATTTGAATAATTTGGTCAATGTTAATAAATAAGTACTGAAAAATATAAGGTAAAATAAAATATTTCTTAAACCTAAAACATTTAGTTATTCACCTCTCCACGATCGGGTTCGAGATACAGAAACTGCAACTATGACAAATTCAATTTCCTGCGAAAACAAAAATTGAATGCGAAATACGAGTAAGAAACTTGATCACAACTCCAGGTGAATTCCTAATAGTGATAAATCAAAGATACGCTTGAATGGAACCAAATTGATAATGTTGCACGCGGAATGGAGGTCACGCCATTTGTGAGGAGACGATTGCGAGCAGACGAAAAAGTCCTGTACATATCCTTTAACATTCGGGTTTATTGGCAGATTTGGATAGGTATTATGATCTTAATCATGGTAATAGTTTGTCTTTCTTGTATTTTATTTGCAAACCAGAATGATCACATCGTAATATTTCGGTGTTCCTTACATTTTCCAAATTAGGACATTTAGGAATGAAACACTCAAGATTATACATGTACCTTGATAATGATTTATATCAAGTACTGAAGTAGACTCATTGAACTGACTCTATTTGCTTGATAACCTTTGAATCTATACCACATATTTTTTATTAAGGATATAAATCAAAAGCACAGTGTAAACACAGTGTAAACTTTTTAAAATCATTTTTAGAAATTCTAACATTCACTGAATTTTTCAAGCTTTGAAAATAGTTAATTATCTCAATTTTTTATTATTTTTTACACAGAATTAAAATGTTATGTATTGCATTCACATGAATTAACAGTGAAAGACAGTCACTAAACACTGAAGTCTGTAGTTACCGGTACAACAGTGGTGTACGAGTGTGGTCGTTTTAAACATTAAGTCGTAAGGGGGAAGTTGGCTGTTCACTTCCTGATGTCTTGATTAGTAGGCGCTGTTCTAAAGGAAGCTTATTAACTGTGTACATATAGGCCACTGTATAAATATAGGCCACTATATGTAACTTTTGATCATTCATATATTAGATCATGTTAGTAGCATGATTACTTTGATGTATGCTTTAATATACAATGCTCATTAACTGAGGAAAGAAAACACAGCTGTCAGTGTGTGTTTACCATACAGTGTAAAATATGCATCAGAAAAAAATGTAGATCATTAACATGATTAATTTACAAAACTCTATTAGAAGAACTGGTTATCAATGATTATATTATAATTTTTTTTACCAAACTATATGGCTATTTATTGTTAAAAGACATAATATTAATTGCAACAATGCACTGATTCATGAATACCGTGAAAAATAAATCATTTTACATACATATGTTGCAGACCTATGCAGTGCTAATTCATGATTATGCCAAAATCTTAATTCCCAGTTATTGCACTAAATTTTGAATACATGTACTTAGTGAATAGTCTAGTACTATTGGTCAAGTAAAAATTAAATGACGTACTGCAAGAGCTTCCTTAACTACTGCACTGCGTTCTGGGTCGGATCATAGAAGACAACATCCAAGCCGAACGGTACATCGCAGTTGTACAGAAACAGGCAGATACAGCGTGAGTATATTTGAGACATAATTTTCTAGGGAAAAAAATTTGTTGGTAATAACCAAGAAAATAAAGTACATGTACACCTTGCATAAAGAATTTAAGTTATAGTTACATTTACCTACCGTAGATACTCACCTATAAGTCGGTATTTTGGGAGTTATATTTTAGTCCAAAAGTCTATATCTGACTTATAGGCTAGTCATAAAAGACAGGTATTTTTCTAGATGGCGAATTGTAGTATTTTTAGCTCACCTGAGCCGAAGGCTCAAGTGAGCTTTTCTGATCACATTGTGTCCGTCGTCCGTCCGTCCGTCCGTCTGTCTGTCCGTCTGTCCGTCCGTCTGTCCGTCCGTAAACTTTTCACATTTTCGACTTCTTCTCAAGAACCACTGGGCCAATTTTGACCAAACTTGGTACAAAGCATCCTTGGGTGAAGGGGAATTTAAATTGTTAAAATGAAGGGACATATCCCCTCGCAAGGGGAGATAATCAAGAAAAGAGAAAAATAGGGTTGGGTCATTAAAAAATCTTCTTCTCAAGAACCACTGGGCCAGTAAAGCTGAAACTTATGTGGAAGCATCCTGGTATAATGTAGATTCTAAATTGTTCAAATCATGACCCCCGGAGGAAGGGCGGGGCCACAATGAGGAATCAAAGTTTTATATAGAAATATATAGGAAAAATCTTTGAAAATCTTCTTCTCAAGAACCACTGGGCCAGAAAAGCTGAAACTTATGTGGAAGCATCCTGGTATAATGTAGATTCTAAATTGTTCAAATCATGACCCCCGGGGGAAGGGCGGGGCCACAATGGGGAATCCAAGTTTTACATAGAAATATATAGGAAAAATCTTTGAAAATCTTCTTCTCAAGAACCACTGGGCCAGAAAAGCTGAAACTTATGTGGAAGCATCCTGGTATAATGTAGATTCTAAATTGTTCAAATTATGACCCCCGGGGGAAGGGTGGGGCCACAATGGGAAATCCAAGTTTTACATAGAAATATATAGGAAAAATCTTTGAAAATCTTCTTCTCAAGAACCACTGGACCAGAAAAGCTGAAACTTATGTTGAAGCATCCTGGTATAATGTAGATTCTAAATTGTTCAAATCATGACCCCCGGGGGAAGGGCGGGGCCACAATGGGGAATCAAAGTTTTATATAGAAATATATAGGAAAAATCTTTGAAAATCTTCTTCTCAAGAACCACTGGGCCAGAAAAGCTGAAACTTATGTGAAAGCATCCTGGTATAATGTAGATTCTAAATTGTTCAAATCATGACCCCCGGGGAAGGGCGGGGCCACAATGGGGAATCAAAGTTTTACATAGAAATATATAGGAAAAATCTTTGAAAATCTTCTTCTCAAGAACCACTGGGCCAGAAAAGCTGAAACTTATGTGGAAGCATCCTGGTATAATGTAGATTCTAAATTGTTCAAATCATGACCCCCGGGGAAGGGCGGGGCCACAATGGGGAATCAAGGTTTTATATAGAAATATATAGGAAAAATCTTTGAAAATCTTCTTCTCAAGAACCACTGGGCCAGAAAAAAGTGAAGCTTAAGTGGAAGCATTCTGGGTAGTGTAAATTCTAAATTGTAGGAATCATGACCCCCGTGGGAAGGGCGGGGCCATTATAGGGGAATCAAAGTTTTACATAGAAATATATAGGAAAAATCTTTGAAAATCTTCTTCTCAGGAACCACTGGGCCAAAAAAGCTGAAACATATCATGTGCCAATGGGAGGATCATAGGGTAGTGTAGATTTCAAAATGTCTAAATTATGATAAGAGAGTAGGTAGGGTGGGGATGCATTATGTATAACAAGGGGGAAATCTGGTAAAGAACAGAATGGTCAAAGCTTCTCAGGTGAGCGATGTGGCCCATGGGCCTCTTGTTTAAAGATTTTCAACAGCTATTGTTGAACAAAGTAAGGAATGGATGTATTATATCATTTACGATTATAAGATAATACATAAATAACATATACATATATTTAATTATTTTATATTTTTTTAATCTTAAGAGAGCCTTATTTATTTTTCAATATTAAAAGTTGAATTATTGACTTAATTTCCAAAAATATTCTTTGAAATCAGGGTAAAACATCAATGCATTTATTAATAGATTGAAATAGTCATCTGATTCTGGCAAAAGGTTGTACCGACTTATAAGCGGGTCAGTGGTAAATCCCTGCATAATAGCGTAAAAAAATACAACCGAATTATAGGCAGACCGACTTATAGGCGAGTATATACGGTAGCTTTCACTGTGAAACTGAAGAAATTTCTTAACTGTGAGGTTTACCCTCCCCCTCCCCACCACCACCGCCTACAAAATCATTTCAAATGTTTTATCAGTAAAGAATTTTTTAACTTGTAACTGTTTTTCAACTGATAACTTGTTATCCATTTAAATCAGAAGGTAACAGAAGGTGACTTATATGACAAACTCAGACACTTTTGTGGGGTATCATTTTTTAGGTCATTTTATTTTTATGTTATATTTATTTTTAGGTTATTCCTGTTTTCGTCCCGGGGAATCCCCTGCACCAGTGAGAATGATTTATCTGTAGAGGATGTGATCAAAATTAACGAGGATTTCCATTTCCGACAAAGTAAGTCAACAGAAAAGCACTGCACAACATGCAGACCAAAAAGAGCAAGGGCTCACGAATATTTCTGTTGGAGGTATCAGGAATTTTGGGGAGCACTTATGAACATTTGCTCTGTTAAACAGGCCTCAGATTTCTTTACAGTGTCTGAGCTCATTATAATCCCCTCGCAACAGGTTTGGAAAGGTCATATAGTAATACAGTTGTGTGTGTGTGTGTGTGTGTTTGTTTGTCGGTTATGTCCTGTGTGAAACGGAAGTGATGTAATTTGCATGGGGATCAATTGCTGCCTTGATTACAGAAACACATATATGCTTTTTTTGAGGGGATACTCTGCCTTGATAAATGTTATACCATCCTGGCCTATATGAACATGATAATACATGTATATTGTCTAAGAATCTGACTTTATTATTGATCAAGGGTGCATTAGTGGGCTCATTATATCTTGTTCTTTAGTTGACAAACATCACAAAGACAATAACCATGCATCTCTATCTTCATTTTCGTCAGAAAAAAGATTAACTAAGAAATTACACTGTATCATATCAATATTCCCATAATTTGTTTAACATGTTAATTACTAAATTATTCAATCATGTGAACTTGTAGAGGTTAGTGATATCTTGATCTCCATGCTCGTTAATTACTTCATAAAAAGTGGAATCTTAATTATTAATTAAATTTAAAATATATTTAATTATTTATCATGTGAGTTGTATTGTTTGCTATGAGCATGTGACTCATGATCAAGTACACAGAACTGTATACTGTTTATATCCTTACTGTATTATCTCAATTATTACAGTGTAATACCAAACTATTAATGAAGTGTAGGGGGTGGGATACTAGTACCTGGTCTCTATAACATATCTACCCAATATTATGTTTTTATCTCTTTGTCAGCATGTCTCCTACATTAACTTGACAAAAAGATGAGAGAAAATATCTTCCTTTTTTTTTAATCGCATGCAGAGGGAGAAAAGAGTCTTCAACTTCTTTTTTTTTTTTGATTGTGAACTTCAATTTGTATTTAATTGTATTGATTTTGTTTATCAGGACAGCTCAGAGCTCCAGATGAAGTGTTTATTTGAAGAAGAATGCATTGAATTTAACAAAGTACAAAAGAAAATTTAAAATGGGCATACAGTTATACATTAGCATTTGTCAATATGCATTACATTTGGAAAGTAATGTGTGCAACAGATTGAATACTGGTTTCAAAGTTCCACATATTTAATTTAATGACATAACTGAGGTAAACTCAGTGTTTTTTTTTATAGATAGCTAGAAACTTTTAGCTTTTTGCCCAGAGAAGCAAAATCTGCATTGAAATAAAAATTGAAAGTGAAATAATGCAATATGCACTATAAAATCTGGAGCTATGATTGAGTGTTTCTTCTCTCTCTCTCTCTCTCTCTCTCTCTCTCTGTTTTACACTACATGTATAATCAGTTGTCTTTCTGACTGTTTTACAGACAATGTCAACAGACAGTCCTCTCTGGACGATTTTGATCCTCTGAAAAACAGTATGTTACCCCATTCATATGCTTATATTCTTCATTATATACTCACATTATTTATTTATTTATAATCAATCTATTATATATGGAAATAAATCTTTAAAGTGTATAATTCTGAATGTATTTATAAATATAAATTTATAAATTTATATATTAGACACATAATTTGTTTTAGATAATATTAAAGTCTTTAATTCTGTATTAGACTTTTTGTTTCATATATGATTTAAAGAGACTTTTTGATACTTTGAATAAAATGTTTTTCTTTTAAAAAATACTTTTTCATAATTGACTAAACATTAATTAATCATTTCAGCTGAGCAGGTGGTCGATCTTTTTGTGGGAGGCAAGAACATCAGGGTACTGTTAAAAGATCCTGTGGCAGCCAAGTCATTAATCACCTACCTACAGAAAGCTCAGAGTCGTAAGTGTCAGCTGATATCTATGATATCAGACGAGAAATGTACATGAAGGCAGAGATTTAGTTTGGATCAAAGTAGAAGCGTCGTCTGAAATCAGTAGATATCTCTACACTGTAATTATGTTCCCCAAACGAAGTTTGGGAACATATTGTTTTTTACTTTTTCTGAATTTTTTCTTTGTTCTCCGGTACTTTTTTTGTCCGCGAGTGTTCTCGTAAACTACTCATCCGATCTAGGTGAAACCTTTTTAGGGTCACTAGGTATGTTATGTAGATGTGCGGAACGAAGGTCATTTTGCGCGCACGTGCGTGCAGGTGCGCGCACGTGTAACTCGTGAAATGACCAATATAATAAATTTAGCCGTAACTTTTTTAATATTGGATGAAATGCTTTGAAACTCATAATATAAGGATATAATAGTAGTATAGACATGATGACATGGTCAAAATAGCAAGATCTCACGCGCATGCAGGTGCCCTTCGCTGCGATTGGCTGAAACTTAAAGTCTAAATATCTATTTTGTTTTCTGACAAAATCCTTTGAAATTTTGAACATAGTCTTACATTATGAAGACCTACAGCATGATATATAAGAATACTCATGAACGCACGCACATACACGTGTGCTGCAATCTGATTGGCTAAAACTTTAAACGCCTACAACTTTCTTGGTTCTCAATAATACAGGGTGAAATTTCAAGTATGAATAGATATAATGATTGCCTACATTATACTACTATCAAAAGTAAATACATGGATGTGCATGCACATGCGACCGCACACAATGTATTAAAAGACAGTTTACTTGAGTGTTTGATGTTCATGCAGAATAAAGAAATTCTAAATGTCAAGACATGTAACATACTGAAGCATGCAGATCTTTTTACCCTTGACCTTGAAACTTAGGTCAAGGTCACTGGTAACCTGAATAAAATGTTGATATTAACTATTTACCAAAATCACCTTGACCTATGAACTTAAAATGGACCTTTACCTTTGTCCTTGACCCAAGGGTAAAAAGAAACATGAAGTACATGTACATGTATCTAGAAACACCTTTCAGAGTTTATTTCGGTTGACAGGTTAGAAGTTAAAGAGGTGGTGGTTTTTAATGACCTTGACCTTTCATCCAAATGTCACAATCAATATTAAGTTCTTGGAATAAGATACAAGATTCAACTCCAACGTTCAATAGGTTAAGAATAAAAATACCCCCCTCCCCACCCCCCCCCCCCCACACACACAAACAAATCAAATTAATGGCAACGTAGAGAATCACTGTTAAACTCAAATAACACCTCGGACCCACATAAAATTTCAGGAAAACTGCAGAAACGAGCTCGAGGAAAGTGTATTAAAATATTTCATATGAGTTTCCAAAGTATATAGAAATTATTAATTTATACAGAAAAATTACAAATCCTGTCGTGTTTAAAATTAAAGTGCAGATGACCAAAGTTGGCATATAAGCCTTTTATAACTTATTTATTCAGATGTTGTTAATAGCATTCGATTCTACTGATTTGAAATAATATTTTAATACCAAGCACCCTTTGTTTAATTTACCCTTGAAATTTATTTGAATTATTTTTAGATTTACGCAATCCCCAGAAATAGCGATTTTCGGTATATTAAAAATCAATATACATGTACGCTCCTTCGTAAAATAATCAGATATTTGCATTCATGAAAAAAATATTAATAAGAAGGTGTTAAACAATATAGGTCACATTACCTGACACGAATGTCTTTTTAAACATCTCTTGTAAAACCCAGAGAGTAGCCCCCTATGCATTGGAAAAAATGAATAGTTCCAGTCAAAAAACCTTTTAATTTATTTACAAAGTATATAAAATTTACCAGGCACAGGTATCAGAGTTGTCAAAATGGCGGGAGAGGAAATATTTAAAAAAATTCTGAACAGAAAGGAAAATCCCTTTTCCATGTATGGAACTACTATTGAATATAACCAACCCCGAGCCCGATCTTAAAAAACACGGTAGTAGAAAATTAGAATTTTGCTGTTTTATTAATTTTTTTGCTTTTAACTTCTTTTCTTGAAGCCAAATGATATGAAAACACTCAAGAAGGCGAAAAGATTTCATATTGTTATCTGAATTAAAATCAAAATTGTAATCTGAACAATTAGTCTCCTTATTATGTTCCCCAAACGGAGTTTGGGAACATATTGTTTTTACTTTTTATGAATTTTTTCTTTGTTCTCCGGTACTTTTTTGTCCGCGAGTGTTCTCGTAAACTTCTCATCCGATCTAGGTGAAACCTTTTTAGGGTCACTAGGTATGTTATGTAGATGTGCGGAACGAAGGTCATTTTGCGCGCACGTGCGTGCAGGTGCGCGCACGTGTAACTCGTGAAATGACCAATATAATAAATTTAGCCGTAACTTTTTTGATATTGGATGAAATGCTTTGAAACTCATAATATAAGGATTTAATAGTAGTATAGACATGATGACATGGTCAAAATAGCAAGATCTCACGCGCATGCAGGTGCCCTTCGCTGCGATTGGCTGAAACTTAAAGTCTAAATATCTATTTTGTTTTCTGACAAAATCCTTTGAAATTTTGAACATAGTCTTACATTATGAAGGCCTACAGCATGATATATAAGAATACTCATGAACGCACGCACATACACGTGTGCTGCAATCTGATTGGCTAAAACTTTAAACGCCTACAACTTTCTTGGTTCTCAATAATACAGGGTGAAATTTCAAGTATGAATAGATATAATGATTGCCTGCATTATACTACTATCAAAAGTAAATACAAGGACGTGCATGCACATGCGACCGCACACAATGTATTAAAAGACAGTTTACTTGAGTGTTTGATGTTCATGCAGAATAAAGAAATTCTAAATGTCAAGACATGTAACATACTGAAGCATGCAGATCTTTTTACCCTTGACCTTGAAACTTAGGTCAAGGTCACTGGTAACCTGAATAAAATGTTGATATTAACTATTTACCAAAATCACCTTGACCTATGAACTTAAAATGGACCTTTACCTTTGTCCTTGACCCAAGGGTAAAAAGAAACATGAAGTACATGTACATGTATCTAGAAACACCTTTCAGAGTTTATTTCGGTTGACAGGTTAGAAGTTAAAGAGGTGGTGGTTTTTAATGACCTTGACCTTTCATCCAAATGTCACAATCAATATTAAGTTCTTGGAATAAGATACAAGATTCAACTCCAACGTTAAATAGGTTAAGAATAAAAATACCCCCCCCCCTCCCCACCCCCCACCCCCCCACACACAAACAAATCAAATTAATGGCAACGTAGAGAATCACTGTTAAACTCAAATAACACCTCGGACCCACATAAAATTTCAGGAAAACTGCAGAAACGAGCTCGAGGAAAGTGTATTAAAATATTTCATATGAGTTTCCAAAGTATATAGAAATTATTAATTTATACAGAAAAATTACAAATCCTGTCGTGTTTAAAATTAAAGTGCAGATGACCAAAGTTGGCATATAAGCCTTTTATAGCCTATTTATTCAGATGTCGTTAATAGCATTCGATTCTACTAATTTGAAATAATATTTTAATACCAAGCATCCTTTGTTTAATTTACCTTTGAAATTTATTTGAATTTTTTTTAGAATTACGCAATCCCCAGAAATAGCGATTTTCGGTATATTAAAAATCAATATACATGTACGCTCCTTCGTAAAATAATCAGATATTTGCATTCATGAAAAAAATATTAATAAGAAGGTGTTAAACAATATAGGTCATATTAGCTGACACGAATGTCTTTTTAAACATCTCTTGTAAAACCCAGAGAGTAGCCCCCTATGCATTGGAAAAAATGAATAGTTCCGGTCAAAAAACCTTTATATATTTATTTACAAAGTATATAAAATTTACCAGGCACAGGTATCAGAGTTGTCAAAATGGCCTGAGAGGAAATATTAAAAAAAATTCTGAACAGAAAGGAAAATCCCTTTTCCATGTATGGAACTACTATTGAATAAGTTCACTTTGATTGGTTAGGTATTGGCTTTTAACTTTTATATTCTTAAATGAAATCATGGGATACTTAGCATATTTATAAAAGGTCTTAGAGGAATAAGGCACGATAAGGGACATGGGGAGCGTTTGGGGAACATCTGTAACGGTCCCCGTTACAATTAGCACTAGTTATCAATTACAATCTACATAAAACTTTGGGTGCTCCCACTAAAAATTCTCACTAAAATTCCTATCACTTCAAGATATACATATTATATATTTATTTGTGACTGTGATATATATAATGCTTTGCTTATTGTATAATCTTCTGCATTAGGGAAATTATGCTTATTTAACTTCTTTCCCACCCCCCTGTGATGTTGACAAATATATTCTATGTGGTACATGTATATTTGACCTAATTATTATCCTAGATCCACCCATGTATTCTTCTTGCAGAGCTCCCTCAAGGTGCCCCCCAGGGCCTCCCTTCCTCCTTTGCTTGGACAGACAGGTACCGCCACTCCCAGTCCGAATGTCTAGCTGTACAGGACTTGGACAATCCCTTTGGGATTGACACATTTAAACCAGAGAAGTCACAGAACCCGTTTCAAGAGGACGTTTTTGACCCACTGAAATACATGAATATTTCGGATGGAGACAATGTTGTGGCAACAGACCAAGTTGAGAGTGTGTAAAATTATTTTCATTGCAGTCAAAACCAACTTTTCTTTGTGTGTGAATTTACAATAATTGAGACACCAAAAGTTTTTGTTTTTTGAAATTTTGGGGGGAATAAAAGTACCAGTTTTTTTCTGAACATGTATTAAATTTAAAATTAATATTGAGTACATTTTTAAAACAAGAAAAGGAAAGTGTTTGTACCACAAGCAAAAAAATTTTCCTCCAAATTCTTTTGAATTTGTGAAAAACTTGAAGAATGTACTAGCACAAAAGATAGTTGGTTGAAAACAATATTTTTTTCTTAAGTTACCTTGCTTCGACACAATATTCCACTTCTATACCAATGTGCATGAAATCTTCACTTTTTCCATTGCATTCTTGCCTGAATAATCATCTTTTGAAAGATTCCAATTCAATTCAATCCAATCCTTTCTACAAATTCCTAGCCTTCAAATGATCAAAATGAATGTGTGTGTTGCAATTTTGTTTTCTCTTGTAAATAAATGCTGTAAATTTTTAATTTTTTTTTTTATGGATAGGAAAAAAAAATAAAATTGATACAAATCAAAACTCTTATAAAGTAATTTTGCAAAAACAAAATATATATATATTAATTGGCTTACAAGTTAAAAGGTTCGTAAAATTTTTGCTAAAAAAAAACATGCTATGTATACAAAAATCTCTCTTTTTAATTACCAGAATGTATTAGATTTAAACACATATATTGTATATTGTTTAACGCCCCTTTGGAGAATATTTCACTCATATGGAGACACCACCATTTGCCGGTGGAGAGCTGCAAATTCTGTCCTATGCTCGGCACTCGGGGTCATTGAGCAGTGAGGGATCTTTTTTGTGCCAGTATCTACTGCAACACAGGATCTCGATTTATATGGTCTCATCTGATGGAACAGTCTCCATATCCCACAGTGGGATTCGAACCCGCGATGTAAGGGTGAACTCCTTACCTCGCGACTGTACAGCAGACACTGTAACCAGGCAACTAAACACATATATGACAGTAATAGAACAGTCATATAAGCTAAAAAAAAAGATTTTTTCATGATATTTGATCTATTGTGTAATGACATGCTTGTACATTCATAAAGGTTTAACCTTAACACAGAGGGACATCCATGTATACTTTCATGCATTAAAAAATCCATGATTTTGAAAACAATATTTTACCATGATATCATTTATATGAAGTTCCTTGTCATTTAATTGTGACAGATGTCACCAGGGAAATCTGTTATATGACTGATCACTGATTGAAGGCTGCAACAGCTGGGTCCATAGCGATTAATGTTAATCTTCTTACTTCATGCTTTAATAATTCTTATCACAAAATCAAATCCATTTAGAATTTTTAGGAGATTGATGAGAAATGTGTCATTCAGATAGATGCTTATAACACATCAAGCCATTCTAAATTTTTTCTCTGTTTAAGGTCCACTCATCTTTCAAAAGTCTTAACTAAATCTATTCACAAAAAACACACCAGCCAAAATATAAAACAAAAATGTTTATTTTATTTTTTTTTAAAAAGCCATTGAAGCAATTTGATCTCATTAAGCTGTTTTTCTACAATAAATATCAGTATTCTTTCGCAAAATCAAGGCATACTGTACAGAATTATTTTAAGTAATTGAACAAAATTCAATAATTTCAACTAAATAAACCAATTTCCAGCCTTTTGATTTTGTGTAATGTATTGGGACTTACTGAAAACACAAAGAGCCAAATGTAAAAAAAAAATTCAATTTGCATGTATTAATTTTCAGTTCTTTGTTTTGGAAGTTTCTCCTTAATGTTGAGTGATCAACTCTTCACACATGAAAATCTTTTGATATTACTTACTAGTTAAAACAGTAGAGTATTTTGATTTGATTCCTTGTTGCTTTATTCTGTAGTGAGAAGGAAGACGAGCCCAATGGTTGAGGACAATATGACGGACTCCACACCCGGTCTACGTAAGGCAGAGAGTAGAGACTCCCTGGATCTGCTAGAGGAGTAAGTGTCAGCTTAATCAGGACAAAAAAATTCATTTATAGTTTCTCAGGCACAACCGCATCAAGACAAACACTACTGCATTGATCTGTTTTATTGACATATTAAAAATGGGAAAGAACTCAAATTTTTCAAGGTGGAAAAGGAAATTTATCTTATGATTTTTTCAATATCAATAGATACTACAATGAGGAGGACAGCGGGGCATTCCCCGACTCCCTGAAGATGATCACCAATCAGCTGGGGATCCCGGGGTCAGGGGTCGAGCTGGTCAACAACCTTAAGCCGACCACGGCCCGGGAACACGTGGTCAGACATTACATGAGGATGAGGGAGGAAGAGTTCACCTACAAGAAATACTACACGTAAGGCCTGTCATCTTAAGGTTCATGGACCCCTCTGGAAAGAGAGATAACTCTCACTGGCATTAAAATGTGTATAAACCCCTTAAAAATGTCAAGTTAAGAAGACTCTTTCTTATAAAATTTGCAATGCAAGGAATGTTGAATTTATTTGGAGTTCAACTGAAATAAAGATTTCCTTTGTGCTTACACTGATCATGTTTTAATGTCTGTTGGTTTTTCATAGGAATAATTCTGTAAATTTCAGTGTGTTTTGTGGAACTTGGAATGTGAATGGCCAGAGTCCTCCTATGGCACTGAAGCACTGGTTAAACAGACTGGACACTCCACCAGATATATATGTCATAGGGTAAGTGTGGACACACCACCAGATATATACATATGTCATAGGGTAAGTGTGGACACTCCACCAAATATATATGTCATAGGGTAAGTGTGGACACTCCACCAGATATATATGTCATAGGGTAAGTGTGGACACTCCACCAAATATATATGTCATAGGGTAGGTGTGGACACTCCACCAGATATATATGTCATAGGGTAGGTGTGGACACTCCACCAGATATATATGTCATAGGGTAGGTGTGGACACTCCACCAGATATATATGTCATAGGGTAGGTGTGGACACTCCACCAGATATATATGTCATAGGGTAAGTACTGGACACTCCACTATAAATATACCATATAATTCCAATTAATCGCCCAGGCATTTAGAAAATTGCGAAGGGGCAGTTATTTTTGTATTTTCATTATAATATTTGATGTCATATTTGAACTTCAAAAAATCTTATGAAAAAATAAAAATTCAGAGAAACACTAAAAGATTGTTTAATATTCCTTTAAGAGTTTAAGTCAAGATTATCCATTTGCTAAAAGATTAATTTTTCCATGGAGAAATTAGAGAATACACAAGGAGAACAAATTTTGTAGATATAACTTTCACTTTCAGAAATATGTATTGAATAGGTCATTCTAAAAGTCTTTCACTTTCAGGACACAATGTACCAGATACTTATGCCATATGGTATTTAGATATTAAAAATGGCAGTATGTTTTATATTTGACAGATTCCAGGAGCTAGATCTTAGTAATCAAGCCTATGTGTTTAGTGACTCTGCGAAAGAAGAACAGTGGCACAACGCAGTCAGGAAGAGTCTGCCCGCAAAAGTCCGATACAGAAAGGTCAGTCTTATTATAGAAAGGTCAGTCATCTAAATATAGAAAGGTCAGTCATCTAAATATAGAAAGATTATTCATCTAAATATAGAAAGGTCAGTCGTCTAAATATAGACAGGTCAGTCATCTAAATTTGGACAGGTCAATTCATACAAAACACACGAAGATCAGTCTCCATATGTACAGAAAAGTCAGTCATCCAAGAGTTATCTTTCTTGCCATGTTCTAGATTTATAGTCTTTTGAGGTGTCAAATACTTTATATTGGATAATTCTGTATGCTTGAAAAATGTGAATCAATTTTAGCTTTACTATTAATGTAATTGATGGAAAATGAAACTAAGATTTACATTCAGCTCTTTCCTATTCAAGTAAAGTATGCACCATAGAATGTGCAATTTATAAGTGATATTGATGTTTTATTACTAATTTCTGATATTTGATTACAGGTGAAGCTTATTCGTATGGTGGGGATCATGTTATTGGTGTACGTCAAGGATTCCGTAGCACCAGATGTTCCTCCTCATTTTATAGATGCTGATTCGGTGCCCACTGGAATCATGGGAATTATGGTGAGGTTAAAGGGTCATTATGGTGAGGTCATAGGGTCATTTCTCACTTTAGGTGTTTATTTTCAAATTGACATTCATGTACTTCTGAATCAGAAAATAAAAACTATCATTAGTTACACAGTATAGATAAATATTATACGAGGGCCGTTCAAAAATTACGCGGACTGTGCTATTATTTACTCTTACAGACGTCATATAGTTATGAAATTTCACAGAAATATGTATCTTAAAGATTCCAAAAAATTTTGGGAAAAATTTCTGTATTTCAAAAATTTTTTACTAAAATTATCGGTATGTTGATATCGCTGATAGAGAGGTACGGAGCACGACCAAAAATTTGAAGCAAAAGCATGCGGAATCCAAAATTTAACTCATTAATTTTCTATAATTCGCAATATTTTTCGACAATTTTCTCAAATGTATCTTTAAGTTGTTCTATTATTATGTATTTAGATTTCTGACATGATATTTGAAATACTAACAGAAATATAGTAATTTTTCTCTGATGCGATTCCCGTGAAAATGACTATGAACATGATGAAAATGACGTCTCCTGAATTGTTAAATTATGTGTAATGGCGGAGATATCGCCAACATAGATCCGAAATATGTATAATAAAACATGTAGTAAACTAGGTTATTCGTGACATTCGTCCACAAATAGAAAATTGATATTTTGGACCGTTAGACCTCTGTAAAAAGACTATACGGGAAGACGGGAAGAGGATTATCGACGAGAACTTTATCCGGACTGTAAAGAATGTGATTGAGAATCATCAATATTACACTATATCTCATAAATAACTGCAGTTTTTGGTTTTAAAACAAAAAAAAAAGAATATTCTTTACTTGTTTAATAGATTTTAAGCTTGGCAGGAAATGGTGTTTGGATGTTGAGTAGATCAGGTATTAATTCAAACTGTACACGTACTCTTGGGAAAATGTGGAGAAAATGAAAGTTCAATCAAATTTTTTTTTATAATGCCTGTGACGTCGAAGATTTTGTTGCTCCGTGACTTAATGATATGTCCTGAAAAATCATTCAAAATCGATACCAATTTACAACATTTTGATATGAAATTTTGAAAACTATATAAGTAAAGATTTTTTAACATTATGTCTTATATTTTGCCCGAATATGTCGTCAAATATTTTTTCTGTGCAACAAGTCCGCGTAATTTTTGAACGGCCCTCGTACATTAATTAATTAATATTCAGAGTATTTGTACATTCTTGAGTAAATTAAATTTTGCTGCTTATACCATATAAACTGATATATCAGTCATAATGACTCAGGTGATAAACATGTTGCATTTCATTGTAACATGATTTTCTCTTCGAAGAAGAATGAATGAGAATAACAATAACTAAGCATCTTTTGATTCATTACGATATAATAATAATTATGTTGACATTCTTGTTTTGTAGGGTAACAAAGGAGGGGTGGGGGTGAGGATGACTCTACACAATACCTCCCTATGTTACTATATATAGACTAATTATGTTGACATTCTGTTTCGTAGGGTAATAAAGGAGGGGTGGGGGTGAGGATGACTCTACACAATACCTCCCTGTGTTTTATCAACACACACTTAGCAGCTCATCAAGACGAATACGAACGAAGAAACCAGGTACTCGTCTCATTACTTTTAGTAGAAAAAATCAACAGCTCTAAGGATTCCGTCTTTCAAGACTGTATATTATATTCTTTACTTTAAGATTAAAACTTTTTAAATAGAAATCTTAATTCCCCCTTTCAAATGAATGCTTTTCTTTAAGATTTTTCTGAATAAAGAATACAGTCAAATATTATTATTTCAAACTTGATTGGACTGATAAAAACTTTCAAGTCCAGGGATTCGAGATATTGAGGATAATATACTCAAAGAATAAGTGGTTGGGACTTAAATCTTCTCAATTTATCCATGATTTTTTAGCTATTGGTGTTTCGGTAATGAAGTTCAACTGTATTTTATGCTGTCTAACTTACATTGTATGTGTAATAGCCCTGCGGTACCTGTTGACTATACATAGACATATGTTTACTTGTTGTAGTTTTTTAGACATGTAGATTTGTAACTTTGTTGACTATACGTAGACATATGTTTACATGTTGTGACTATAAGTAGACTTATGTTTACTTGTTCAATGTTGTGACGTGACTATATAATATATAGACATATGTTTACTTGTTCAATGTTGTGACGTGACTATATAATATATAGACATATGTTTACTTGTTCAATGTTGTGACATGACTATATAATATATAGACATATGTTTACTTGTTCAATGTTGTGACATGACTATATAATATATAGACATATGTTTACTTGTTCAATGTTGTGACGTGACTATATAATATATAGACATATGTTTACTTGTTCAATGTTGTGACGTGACTATATAATATATAGACATATGTTTACTTGTTCAGTGTTGTGACATGACTATATAATATATAGACATATGTTTACTTGTTCAGTGTTGTGACATGACTATATAATATATAGACATATGTTTACTTGTTCAGTGTTGTGACATGACTATATAATATATAGACATATGTTTACTTGTTCAATGTTGTGACATGACTATATAATATATAGACATATGTTTACTTGTTCAATGTTGTGACATGACTATATAATATATAGACATATGTTTACTTGTTCAGTGTTGTGACATGACTATATAATATATAGACATATGTTTACTTGTTCAATGTTGTGACGTGACTATATAATATATAGACATATGTTTACTTGTTCAATGTTGTGACGTGACTATATAATATATAGACATATGTTTACTTGTTCAGTGTTGTGACATGACTATATAATATATAGACATATGTTTACTTGTTCAGTGTTGTGACATGACTATATAATATATAGACATATGTTTACTTGTTCAGTGTTGTGACATGACTATATAATATATAGACATATGTTTACTTGTTCAGTGTTGTGACATGACTATATAATATATAGACATATGTTTACTTGTTCAATGTTGTGACGTGACTATATAATATATAGACATATGTTTACTTGTTCAATGTTGTGACGTGACTATATAATATATAGACATATGTTTACTTGTTCAGTGTTGTGACATGACTATATAATATATAGACATATGTTTACTTGTTCAGTGTTGTGACATGACTATATAATATATAGACATATGTTTACTTGTTCAATGTTGTGACGTGACTATATAATATATAGACATATGTTTACTTGTTGTAGGACTACAGAGATGTGGAGGGTAAGATGAGATTTAAACAGTTCATGCCACCATTGACCATATCAGAGCATGAGTAAGTCAAATTATTAGAATATTCCATTAATCAATCAAAATGACCTTTAATCACTACAGTAACTGAATTCTACTTAGCTAATTCTTAAGATTATGAGAATTTATACATGTAGTTGTAAATTTCTCTTTTATGTGCATGCAGACAGAGACTCTGTACACTTTTCTTTTTATTGTTCAGTAAAGATATAGATAAAAATTCATTCTTTTAAAATCAATGTTATTTACATTTCTGACAATACTATAAAAGCTTTAACCTTTGGCCCATACTTAGGGGAGCATTACAGTTTCACTAACGAGCTACTGAAGGAGAGCATAATTTCAGTAACGTAAAATTTTCCATTTCAGTCAGATATTTTGGATTGGTGATCTGAACTACAGGATAAATGGGCTGGACATTGACAAAGTGAAGACAATGATTGACAAGGGGAAGTACCCAGACCTCCTCAGCTATGACCAGGCAAGTTTTACTAGACTTCTAAACACCTTAACAAAGAGAAATGCTTCAAGTCGTTTTAATACATGGTGTTAAGATTTTATGATATCTCAAAATGTACTAATTGTAATGGTTTTAATTTCACGCTGCAAGAAATACATTCTAATTCTCATATAAGCATTTGAACGTTTTCCAAACTTATAACAGCATTTATGATGAGTTTAATATCGCGGAAAAATGATAAATCATGAACATAGTGAATTTTAAATTAAAACCATTGTGACTATGTGCCAATCTACAGTACCGTCCCAAACTCAGCTATGATCAGGCAAGTTTTACTCCAGGGCTATATTAACAAAGGGGGAATACCCAGACATTCTCAGCTTCTGCTTGATATTCAGAAAAACTGTTTTATGTTGCTTTTTGTTACTTAAAATATAATAAGGTTTGATCCTCTTTTCAGCTTCATCAACAGTTAAATAGATCTGATGTGTTTAAGGGCTACAGGGAAGGCCAGATAAACTTCAAGCCCACGTATAAATACAACACAGGAACCAATGAATGGGACTCTAGGTAAATATATACAATCTGACTGTCCACGTATAAATACAACACAGGAACCAATGAATGGGACTCCAGGTAAATATATACAATCTGACTGTCCACGTATAAATACAACACAGGAACCAATGAGTGGGACTCCAGGTAAATATACAATCTGACTGTCCACGTATAAATACAACACAGGAACCAATGAATGGGACTCTAGGTAAATATATACAATCTGACTGTCCACGTATAAATACAACACAGGAACCAATGAGTGGGACTCCAGGTAAATATATACAATCTGACTGTCCATGTATAAATACAACACAGGAACCAATGAATGGGACTCCAGGTAAATATATACAATCTGACTGTCCACGTATAAATACAACACATGAACCAATGAATGGGACTCTAGGTAAATATATACAATCTGACTGTCCACGTATAAATACAACACAGGAACCAATGAGTGGGACTCCAGGTAAATATATACAATCTGACTGCCCATGTATAAATACAACACAGGAACCAATGAATGGGACTCCAGGTAAATATACAATCTGACTGTCCACGTATAAATACAACACAGGAACCAATGAGTGGGACTCCAGGTAAATATATACAATCTGACTGTCCACGTATAAATACAACACAGGAACCAATGAATGGGACTCCAGGTAAATATACAATCTGACTGTCCACGTATAAATACAACACAGGAACCAATGAATGGGACTCCAGGTAAATATACAGTGCAGGGAACTAATTTTGTTACATAAACCAGCATCAGGATCAGCATAAGTAGGATCAGGATAGAACTAGCATCAGCATCAGCATTTAAAAAAACAGCATTACTTGGATCAGCATCAGCAAGCAAAGGATAGAACTAGCATTGACCAAAGTGAAAACAGATAAAAGAAAGTCATTTAATACAAATTACAAATAAAAATTACCCCAAAAATTATTTTTAATGGCTTAAAATATTGATGCTGTTTTTGAATTATTCCGACAGGATAATCCTACTTCATTACTAGCATTACTAGCATTGACCTAGTTTCAAACCAGCATCAGGATAAGGATCAAACCAGGATCAGGATAAGGATAACTAGCATCAAAATCAGCAAGCAAAGGAAGCATCAAAATCAGCAAGCATAGGAAGCACCAAAATCAGCATTGATGCTGTAACAAAATTATTTCCCTGCACTGTACAATCTGACTGTCCACGTATAAATACAACACAGGAACCAATGAGTGGGACTCCAGGTAAATATATACAATCTGACTGTCCACGTATAAATACAACACAAGAACCAATGAATGGGACTCCAGGTAAATATACAATCTGACCGTTCACGTATAAATACAACACAGGAACCAATGAATGGGACTCCAGGTAAATATATACAATCTGACTGTCCACGTATAAATACAACACAGGAACCAATGAGTGGGACTCCAGGTAAATATACAATCTGACTGTCCATGTATAAATACAACACAGGAACCAATGAGTGGGACTCCAGGTAAATATATACAATCTGACTGTCCACGTATAAATACAACACAGGAACCAATGAGTGGGACTCCAGGTAAATATACAATCTGACCGTCCACGTATAAATACAACACAGGAACCAATGAATGGGACTCCAGGTAAATATATACAATCTGACTGTCCACGTATAAATACAACACAGGAACCAATGAGTGGGACTCCAGGTAAATATACAATCTGACTGTCCACGTATAAATACAACACAGGAACCAATGAGTGGGACTCCAGGTAAATATATACAATCTGACTGTCCACGTATAAATACAACACAAGAACCAATGAATGGGACTCCAGGTAAATATACAATCTGACCGTCCACGTATAAATACAACACAGGAACCAATGAATGGGACTCCAGGTAAATATATACAATCTGACTGTCCACGTATAAATACAACACAGGAACCAATGAGTGGGACTCCAGGTAAATATACAATCTGACTGTCCACGTATAAATACAACACAGGAACCAATGAATGGGACTCCAGGTAAATATACAATCTGACCGTCCACATATAAATACATTTGTACAACACAGGAACCAATGAATGGGACTCCAGGTAAATATACAATCTGACTGTCCACGTATAAATACAACACAGGAACCAATGAATGGGACTCCAGGTAAATATATACAATCTGACTGTCCACATATAAATACAACACATGAACCAATGAGTGGGACTCTAGGTAATTCTGTCACCAAAAAATTCTTTTAAAAGCTGGATTTTTGTGTATCTAATTTAATGCATTCTTTACTTGAAATCTGAAAATCATGTAACTCCCCTCACTTTTTCAATTATCCCCATGTTCATAGGGAATTGTGCCACATATGATCCACATGCTATGTCTTTCATATGAAGATCATATGTATATACATTCACATGAGAATTATACGTGGCAAATCATATATGGATCATATGAATGCACATATGTAAATCATATGATGTTATATACATATGATTCACATATGATGCCATTTTTTATGATTCTCATATGAAACAAATCATATGATTAACATATGATACACATATGTGGATCATATGTGACAGTGTTTGAAACTCGCTGTAAAATAAGCTAGACGTCAAGCAGGGCTGACTGCCAGTGAAAGTTGTCAGCCCTTTAAAAAATGTACCTGAAAAAACAATTGCCGTTTAAAAATCAAAGTACTGAAAGTACTCATGGGAGTTGAACATTGTTATCTGAAAGGTCTCACGGGAAGTATAGGAACAGTTTCATGCTTTCAGATTCAAGTCAGCTAGAACTGATTTGTTAGAGATACAACACGAAACATTAAAAATAATTTCTATTGCATTTGAATAGCCAAGATCATGGGACTGCTTTTAAATTAGCTGCAGAACTGTAGCTGTCCGAAAAAAGATTTTGACAGACTGGAGAGCTACAGTGCCATCCACTGAAAAAAAAACTGTATATTTATTGCGCACGAACAGTTAAGTTTAGTTCTGGATTTATTCTTTCTAATTCTTACCTCAACAATTTGACCAAACCAAACAAGCAACCCCCTCCACCAAAAAAAAAAAAATTCCAAACTCGAAAATACTATTTTGTGGGTAGGTTTCAAACTTCAGTACCATTTCTTACTCAAATTCAAACACGACCTTATATTTCTGAAGCATTTGAATCCAAACACCCCCTACTCTCTTTAGAATGTGTACAAGATATTTGGTCCCAAGAAACAAACAAACACTCTTTATATTCGATGTTACCATCACCAGACACTAGATTGTCATTTTTCTTCCTCTGATTAAAATGAGTATTTGCTATTCTCTTTTGGGTATGAATGTTTCTTTTCGGACATAATGATTAATTTTTATAGAACTCTGTGCTTATCTATTTTATCAAATGTATCTATCTTTATAACTTAATCATCAAGTTTTGTTATTCCCTAATTTTAAATTTCATTTCAATACACATGTATTCATTAATTTTAACTGTTTTAATTATATAATAAAATCAAATGATACATTTTATAAGGAAATACTGCAATGCAAGTACATACACATTTTTCAAGTTCAGATTTGGTGTTGTACAGGGACCAACTGAATGCTGATAAACTCATGAAATAAAGGATGTAAAATTAATGTCATTTGAAATTGAGAGATCGAATATCAACAAACTTTAATGCTATTATTTTTCCCTTTACCAACGTAAAAGAATGAGTTGCATGTATCTGGTCTGACAAAAAATTTCCAGTCTAACAGATCATTTTACTTGTCAGAGCAAATAAATGTCTGACAGTGATATTTTCCATAGTATTTTTTAAAAAGTAATGTTGTTCTGTCTCTTTATTGCTGAAACAAATTGAAAGAAGTTCAGTTAAACCTTAGCATTCCTTTGACCTTACATCTTTGTTTACATCTCTATATTTAGACAATCGCGTCATTGTCAAACCAGTTAGACCAGTTGTTGCTCCTTTGATGACCTCGCACTTTTTGTAATGGAGCATAGTGGAGTCAGCCTAGGATTGCCGAATGATAAATGACGGGACTTTTTTTCATACGGAAATCAAAATTTACGTGTCATTTCTCAAGAGAGATGACAAAAATATGCTTTTCAAATTAAGTTAAATAAAATCCTTTTTATTTGCTTTCAAATAATTTATGAAAAGTAGATTAATTCAGAAAAATGAGATGGACTATTTTTATTGCGGAAGTTTCTGCGAGTTTATATAGACTGGTGCGAGTTTATATTGAATATCACAGGGGAGTAAATTGGCCGACACAGAAACACCACAACAGCCGCTATATAATTTATTGTAAAATTACTGCGCTAGAAATCGCGTGACAACCTAGGGAGTCTGAACATAGTTCAACTCCCAAAAATAGCAAAAATGTGAATTGGGCAGATCACCAATATTCAATCATAAACCTATAGGCTGATAAATATACTACCTGTTTGCTTGTTACACTTTGCCAATATAATTATTATTAGTTGATTTGAGAGAGTTTTCATAACCAATCTGAATTTTAATGTAGAAAATTTTACACGTCCTGACGGGCGTCAATACATGTAAATATGTTCCTCCGTGACAAAATTTGTGCATCTCAGGCATTCAAGTGCAGTTATTTCAAACACTATGTGGCAAAGTTGCCTGTGTGTAATGATGGTAATGGTTGCTTAAAATTTGAGAATATGGTTGTCTGATTAACATATTAATCTTCAACTTTTTTATTAAATTACTGTGGCATCATCATCATTTGTTCATTTGAGACCAATGTTTGAGGATTTTTGGTCACCTTTATCTAGATGAATCCCTTGAATTAAAATGATTTCACTGACCACAGTACTATTTATGCAACCATTTGCCAAGATTTGAAATACATGCAATTTAAATTAAGTTTTATTTAAACACACTCTTGGACTTTCTTCTAATATGTCATGTATATATTATATAATTTTTTTCCAATACATAATATAAGTATATTCTTGAAGAAGTTTTTTTTTAAAAAACATTTTTTGAAATCTTGAATACCTAATCCTAACAAGATCCACAAACTTTTATTGTTTACAAAAATGATGATATTTAAAAAGCAGTTTTACCCACGTCATCCACAAACAATATCCTGTTGATAATTTTACCTGTATTGTGTCTCTTTGATGTTGATAAAGATGTGAAGTATGTGAGTTATTTGTTTAACACACATAAACACTTCCTTCCTTAGTCCTTGTTCCTTTTATAGAGTCTGACATATTCTTTTTATCTCTATGTTTTTAAATTGGACGAAGTGACATAAAATTTAAATCAGTATCTGAATTATCCTGTATTATTTATTCTGCCATATATTAGGTAGAAGTTGTTAGTGTATCACAGCATGATTTGTTTCAACTGAATTCATAGTACCTGTGTAAGAAATTTTGTGTGTGTGTGTTGTTTGGGGAATCTATATTGGACTCTATTTATAAATAAAAACACATATCAATAGTGTATTCAATTTTGATGATGATTTTTTTTCAGTGAGAAGAACAGGATTCCAGCCTGGTGTGACAGGATTCTGTATAAAGGAGAGGGGATAGAACAACTTCACTACTCCTCCCACCCCGACCTACTTATCAGTGACCACAAACCTGTGTCCTCCCTGTTCCAGATAGAGGTGAGTCATCAATTAGGTCAAGGTCACTCCCACCCCGACCTACTTATCAGTGACCACAAACCTGTGTCCTCACTGTTCCAGATAGAGGTGAGTCATTAATTAGGTCAAGGTCACTCCCACCCTGACCTACTTATCAGTGAGCACAAACCTGTGTCCTCCCTGTTCCAGATAGAGGTGAGTCATTAATTAGGTCAAGGTCATTTCCAGCCCCATTTGACCTTTTAGATATTTAGAGGATAGTAATTATAAACATAGGCACTGTTAAGAAGTGGGTTGTGTTATCATTTACATGTTCAGTGTTGACATTTAAACAAAATGATGAGATATAGCTATTTTTACACAAATAACAACTGGTCAACAATGACTTCCCATTACACAAGTGTTTGCACTTCCTGTTCATCAGTGCTGGAGTGATACGGAATTAAATCAAGCTGTGCCAATCACTGTAGGCTGCTTCCTCCATGTCTGATACATCTAGATTGGTCACAAAGGCGTTTTCAGTTTATGATGCCTCGAGCATTAAAATGTGTAAAAATAGCATTGAGTTTTTCTTAAAGTAATTTCCTTATAGATAATTGGCCCATATAAACTGTAGCCTTCTTTACTGTCGCATGGTACTTGGCTTGTCTGAAACAAAGTAGGTGAGTTGCAAATCATTTGATTTGATTACAAAATTAATGAAATTTTGGAGGTGAAAAATGTTGTTGTTTTTTTAAATATACATATATATCCTTCTTTGTTTAGTTCATTTTTTAGCTCTACTGGTCAGAGACCAGAAGAGCTTATGCGATAGTAATGCGTCCATCGTCCGTCCATCTGTCTGTCTGTCTGTCTGTAAACAATTTTTCAAAATGCTACTCCTATTAGAGTTTTGGTCCGATTTCAATATAACTTGGCACACAAGTAGACTACACTAAGATACATAATTCTGTGCATCAGTTTTTGATTTCGATGAACGGTGTTGCCATGGTGACTAAAAATAAAAATTTCTATGAACTTCTTTCAAAATGCTACTCCTCTTACAATTTTGGTCCGATTTCAATATAACTTGGCACACAAGTAGACTACACTAATATACATAATTCTGTGCATCGGTTTTTGATTTCAATGAACGGTGTTGCCATGGTTTCTAAATATAGAAATTTCTGTGAACTTCTTTCAAAATGCTACTCCTCTTACAGTTTTGGTCCGATTTCAATATAACTTGGCACACAAGTAGACTACACTAAGATACATAATTCTGTGCATCGGTTTTTGATTTCAATGAACGGTGTTGCCATGGTTACTAAAAATACAAATTTCTGTGAAATTTTATTTTAAATACTACTCGTCCACCAGTTTTGTTCTGATTTCAATATAATGTGGCACACAAGTAGACTACCCTAAGATACATAATTCTGTGCATCGGTATTTTGATTTTGATGAACAGTGTTGCCATGGTTGCTAAAAATAGAAATTTCTGTGAAATTCTTTCAAATGCTACTCCTCCTTTAGATTTGGTCCGATTTTAATATAACTTGGCACACAAGTAGACTACACTAAGATACATAATTCTGTGCATCAGTTTTTATTTTGTTGAGTGTCAAGGATCATTTTTCTATTGATTCCTGTTTTGAAGTCTCAAGTCACACTGCTACTTTTCTCTTCCTTTGTTTTAAGTATAAACCAGTAGAGCTACAGTCTCAACAGACACTTCTGGTTCAATTTGTATTTTGAATGTTATTATGAAAGACCAAAATTTTTTAAAGGAAAGTCCAATGGCAATTACATTGGTTAAGCCATTGTATAGCTGTGAAATCACTAACTTCTAGTTGGTAAAGGTGGTGTTTTCAAAAGAGACCCAGGAATTTAGATCCACCATAAAATTTAAAATTTCCTATAATATTTATAATTTTTCATCAATTCTTTATCCATGAAATCAAAAAGCTGCATATTTTTTTTCCTCAAACCATGAAAAATTGATCCTACACAAATATGTCATTTTACAGCAAGTATGGATGGGGCTTTGAATTACATTTTAACTTGATTTTGGACTCAATGTGAACAGTTAGGTTATATACTACCAAGATTGTTTCAAAAAACGTTTTAGATTTTTGTTTTTAAAAATTGTCTTTCATTGTAATACATTAACTGGTATTTAAAAACAAATCATTATTTTCAAATTCATTATGAGATGTTAATTGCTGTTGACTTCCAAAGTCTGTGTTTTTATCAAAACACACATACTGTGGTTTTATCAATTTTCGTTGGCATCAATTTTCGTGGATTTTGTAAAACAGACATTTTCGAGGACACGTAATTTCGTGGACAAAAGCATTACCTATACAAATGAATTTCCTATCTCTTTAATCGATGAAAATTTGAATTCGTCAATCTGCTCAACAACGAAATCCTCGAAAATTGGTGCTCAACGAATATTGATGAAACCACAGTACTCTTTGAAAAAAACAGCCATTTATTGAATTAACATGCTGTATTGCATTTCAAGATTGTCCACTTGCTCAGGGTCCACTAGAGACGTGTATCTGCAGATTGACCAATGACAGTACTGTTTTTATCAATGACAATTCCTACACTAAGATCTACTTATTACACGTTTCCTCTATAGGACAGGAATGGGCCCATTGATAGAGATGAACTTTTTTAGCACAGAAATACTTGTACTTCCAGAAAGTACTTAGTTCGCACAATTAAAGGAACATTCAATGTGTTTATATGCTGTCAGAATTTGGATCAGATTTCCTTATTGTAATCACATGCTTGATATAGAAATAATTTAGACACTATTGATTTGCTTGTTTGGAGTGAAATGAAGGAGATATGTAAATCTGGTGAGAACTGTAAAAGAAATGGCAGATATATTCCTTGTTGATAAGGTATTTTAGATTTTTTGACGTGCTTCATGTTAGATATAGCTGCATACTAAGTCTGTGTTAAATTTTATATAGTACATTCAAAGATCAAAAATAAAATCACATTTGGGATGAGGAAACAGATCTTTATAAAATTGCTGCATGTACTTTTATTAGGAATGGCTATTTTTAGCAATAAATCTGTTTTTCCCATGGATTTATTATTACTTGTTAATTAATAAATTTTGTCTGTGGGGTTTTTATTTTCCATTTTCATAAAGTTCCATTTAACACCTTGTAGACAGGATTTATTTTAGCAAACACCCACTGAAGACCTTTGAAGTTTTCAGATAAACTATTAACAATATCTTAAATCTTTCCTTTACCATCTATTTTTATACCTGGTGTCTTTCTTATGAGTGTGAGACTGATGAAGGAGGTTATTAACATTCATTAGTAGCAATTAAATCTATAAATTAATTCTCTATTATTTAGGTAAAAGTGATAGATAAAGAAAAGTCCAATAAGGTATATGAAGACGTAATGAAAAAGCTGGACCGACTAGAAAACGACTACCTACCTCAAGTCAAGCTAGACAAAACAGAGGTGAGTCTAAACCTGTAGTCAAGTTTTTCTCAAGTCAAGTTACACAAAACAGAGGTGAGTCTAGACTTGTATTCAAGTTTGTGTCAAGTCAAGTTACACAAAACAGAGGTGAGTCTAGACTTGTATTCAAGTTTGTGTCGAGACAACTTACACAGAATAAAATTGTGTAAGATTATAACTCACCTGTAAGTCGTTTTCAAGTCAATTTAGACATGATGGAAGTAAGGTCAAGTTAACCTCTGCCAAATTGAACAAAAGTTCATTATAACCCAACTTCAAGTGAGTTCTAAGTCAAGTTATACAGAACAAATGTAGCATCATATTAACAACACTATGCGTTTAAGTTTATTAATAAGTTACATAGATAATGAATAAATCATTTGTAAGTTACCAATATATTACTTTTAGACATCAGATTAGAAAGCATTTTTTTATTGATATAGTTTCAGGTATTCAATATGTGTATATTTAAATTATCTAGTATGCACTAAGTGCAAGTGAAATCAAAAAATGATAGAATTGGATGATACTGATGATTGAGCAAGACCAAAAAGAAAAGTCAAAAGAATGTATTCAAGTTTGAAAAGGAAGAAAATTGATATGAAATACAGAATTTATTTTTAATGGAATGGTGTCTAAGGAAATTTCTTTTTACCAACCTAAAACTATTAGACTAAGTTATGATTTGTATTTTTTACAGTTCGTGTTTAAAGATGTGATGTTTATAGAGATGAGATCAGAAATTCTGACTGTATGTAATACTGGCCAGGTAAGAGAAAAATATACTATAAATAGAAAAGGGGACAGGTAAGGGCTATCAAAAGGAAAACAGTCCAGGTAAGGCTATAAATAGAAAATGGGCCAGGTAAGGGCTATATATAGAAAATGGGCCAGGTAAGGGCTATAAATAGAAAATGAGCCTGATAAGTGCAATAAATAGAAAACGGGCCAGGTAAGGGCTATAAATCGAAAACAGGCCAGGTTAAAGACAAATAAGCTATAAATAGAACAAATACGAGGTATATTACAAAATTGACTATTATCTATAGAATGCAGGCCAAGTATGGGACATATTCACTATTGAAAAGAAAATATTCTAAATATGGGACAATTCTCAGTAAATAGAAGACAGGTCAGGTTAGGGGCCTATTCACTTCAGACAAATTCACCATGAATATAACCATGATAACACAGTACATGCATGTATGGAACAAATTCACTAGCAATTCTCTTTATTTTGCCTAATTCAGCTCTCTTTAATTTTTTTATCTGAAGACAGAAGAACTTTCACATTGCTCTATGTGAAGAAATAGATTCACATCACTGTGTTATTATTTTGACATATTGCCTTTGTATTATGCCTATATTAATAATTTTATGTTTGCTTTGTATTGATCAGGTTCCTGTGGAGTTTGAATTTATAAACAAACTAGAAGAGAAGAGTTATTGTCAACCGTGGCTCAAAATCTCCCCCTACAAATCTGTGATAACCCCAGGTAATCATAATACTGTATACAGGGTTATTTTTGCCTTGTTTTATTTTTCACCCTTTCACACTTAGAAACAAGTTTGCCATATTTTAAATTTGTCCAGTGACAATTCTGTGTGGGAAATCATGCTTTGTATTTTTAATTCGCTTGTTTAAAATTTGCCCACCTGTGGGTTGGGCAAAGGGGCGAAAATAAAACAGGGGCAAAAATATTGCTGTATACAGTAAGTCACTGTTATTACAGCAAAAGTTGTTTGATACATGTGTTGGGCACTTTTTAGCTCACCTGAGCCGAAGGCTCAAGGGAGCTTTTCTGATCACATTTTGTCCGGCGTCCGTCTGTCCATCTGTCTGTCTAGCTGTCTGTCCGTCTGTCTGTCTGTAAACTTTTCACATTTTCGACTTCTTCTCAAGAACCATTGGGCCAGTTTCAACCAAACTTGCCACAAAGTATCCTTGGGTGAAGGGGATTCAAGTTTGTTCAAATGAAGGGCCATGCCCTCATTCAAGGGGAGATAATTGTGAATTAATGAAAATTTGGTGGCATATTTTAAAAATCTTCTTCTAGATAACCACTTTACCAGGAAAGATGAAACTTATAGGGAAACATCCTCAGGTAGTGTAGATTCAAGTTTGTTCAAATCATGACCTCCGGGGGTAGGGCGGGGCCAAAATGGCCGACCAAACTTTTCCATAGAAATATATAGGAAAATTCTTTAAAAATTTTCTTCTCAAGAATGACAAAGCCATAATTCATCATATTTATATGGAAACATCCTCAGGTAGTGTAGATTCAAGTTTGTTCAAATCATGACCCCCCCGGGGTAGGGCGGGGCCAAAATGGCCGACCAAACTTTTACATAGAAATAAATAGGAAAATTCTTTAAAAATCTTCTTCTCAAGAATGACAAAGCCATAATTCATCATATTTATATGGAAGCATGCTCAGGTAGTGTAGATTCAAGTTTGTTCAAATCATGACCCCCGGGGGTAGGGCGGGGCCAAAATGGCCAACCAAACTTTTACATAGAAATATATAGGAAAATTTTTTAAACATCTTCTTCTCAAGAATGACAAAGCCATAATTTATCATATTTATATGGTAGCATGCTCAGGTAGTGTAGATTCAAGTTTGTTCAAATCATGACCCCCGGGGGTAGGGGGGGGGGCAAAATGGCCGATCAAAGTTTTACATAGAAATATATAGGAAAATTCTTTAAAAATTTTATTCTCAAGAATGACAAAGCCATAATTCATCATATTTATATGGAAGCATGCTCAAGTAGTGTAGATTCAAATTTGTTCAAATCATGACCCCCCGGGGTAGGGCGGGGCCAAAATGGCCGACTAAAGTTTTTAAAGATATATATAGGAAAATTCTTTTAAGATCATTTTCTAAAAAATAGCAAATCCATGATTGATCATGGGACTACTTTTGGATTAAAACTTTACAATAAAAAGCCATTTTCTACTTTTTCCTACCCTTAGTGCTCAGGTGAGCGATGTGGCCCATGGGCCTCTTGTTCAGAATATCTTGGTCCCCATATGATAATGTGAATACTCTTAAGTGTAGTTTCATTTTCAGTGTGTAAATACCGTTATAATTTAAACATAACTAGTCTAAGACAGATTCAAATGTTAATGTTTTGTTATAATATCAAGTTGTGAAATCCATATAAATCAGTGAGTAAAGACTGTTACAAAACATACCTAGTCTAAGACAGATTAAAATGTTAATGTGTTGTTGTAGGATCCAGTTGTGAAATCCATTTAGACGTGCTGGTGGAGAAGACGTGCGTAGCGGCATTAGATGCGTCCAATCACGTGCTAGACGACATCCTGGTCCTACATCTGAATGGTGGGAAGGACTTCTTTGTATCCTTTGCGGGCTGAAAAATAGAAGGGCTTTATAGACACATAATATTGTGTGCCCATAGTAAATATAAATACCGTTTTGTAAAGTGTGACATAAAAATCTTATTTATTGTTCCCTGCTTTGGCTAATTTAAAAGCTGGGGGACATTCAATCTGATTTACCTGTCAGTCTGTCCAACAAAAACTTAAACCTTGGTCATTACTTTTGACTGAGTAGAGATAGGAAATTTTTCATATGTGCATTACCACTAAGACATCAAATGTGGGGGAATACATTTTTTTTTTAATTTGCTTGTCTTACTACATAATTACCTCAATAATTAACCTGCATAAACTTAATTACTGTAGTGGACTTGAAATGTTTACTTTCATTTGCTATTAAGCAATTTAAACTGTAATAATGTGTAGTGAGACATTTATATTATAATATAACTTGTATTTAGTGTACTGTTTAACTTGAGAACTGTCACAAAAAAGTCTATATTTTTATATATTTTAATATCAGCATTGGCAACCCAAAATTAAGATACTTTCAAGTTGGAATAGATTTCACATGCTAAAAATCTCTTTTGAGAATGATTGTTGACTGATTCCTAAATATTATTAGATCACCTGAGTAAACTCAGGTGACCTATTGCTATCTGTTTTCGTCTCTTCCAAAATTGTGAATTTAATGACCCCAGGGTCAGGGGTTCTAGTACTGGGGGGGGGGGGCATATAGATTATATAGTGAAAATGCACTAATTCTTTGATATTCTTCTTTTCTGTTTTCAGGCATTAAATAAACTAACCAAGTGCATAGTTATGTTGAATAAAACTGCCTCTTTTAAAATTGTGAATCTAATGGCCCCAGGCCTAAAATAAAATTAAGTTTGTTTGCAGTTGCCTACCGACCCACTGAAAATGCATCCGACCCAAACTTTTTTATAGCCATTTGGTAATTTGATTTTTTTTTTTCAATTTTTCAAAATATTGAAACAGTTTCGTTTTCAAATTTTGACACATTTTTTTTTATCATTCAGTGGTTTATAACAAGAGGTGAGCTTATTCATGTCTAGTAGGTGTATGAAAACCTCTTTTAATTGTTATCTAACAAAAATCTGATTTTTTTTCCAAAAAAAAAAAAAGAATGCCTACCTACCGACCCAGTCTAAAAATTATGGGTCGACAACTGCAAACAAAAAAATTTTTAAGCTTGGCCCCAGGGTCAGAGGTTCTAGTGCCAGGGTGGGGCTATATAGATTATATAGTGAAAATGCATTATTTCTTTGAACTTCTTCTTTTCTGCTCCTTGGCATTAAATAAACTAACCAAGTGCATAACTATGTTGAATAAGGCTGCCTCTTCCAAAATTGTGAATTTCATGGCCCCAGGGTCAGGGGTTCTAGTGCTAGGGCGGGGCTATAAAGACTATGTAGTAAAAAATGAATTATTTCTTTGAAAATCTTCTTCTTTGCTCCTGAGTATTAAATAAACTATCAAAGTACATAGTTATGTTGAAGAAAGCTGCCTCTTCCAAAATTTTGAATTTCATGACCCCTGGGTTGGGTGTTCTGGTGTTAGGGTGGGGCTCTATTGATTATATAGTGAAATTGCATAAACTCATTAAAAAATCTTCTTTGCTGCACCTGGGTATTAAACCAATGAAATATGTACATATTTATGAGGAGGAAGGATGCCTCTTTGAGATTGTGAATTTCAGGGCCCCTGGGTCAGGGCTTCTTGTGTTAGGACGGGGCTCTAATGTTTATATAGTGAAAATGAACGAATTCTTTGAAAATCTTTTCCTTTAATCCTGTAGTGTATTTGGGGGGTGTTTTTAATTTGTAATTGGGTTCGGGCTCGGGAGCCCATATCTCTCTCTCTTCCCACGTTTCCGCCAAGCTGGGTAAAGGCCATGATTATCAGAGCTCCTCAATTTTGTAATATATCCAATCAATTGTTTATAATCAATATATTATTTTTATCCAAAGTGATTTGTTTGTCTTTATACAATTAGGAAATCACTTTAATCCTGGGTATTATGACAATGATCTTAGTATATATATATGATGAAGAACGTTGCTTCTTCCAAAAATGCTTAATTTCCTGGCCCCTGGGACAGAGGTACTTGGGGGGGGTCTGAAAATGATTTAATGCTTTGAAATCTGCACTTTGGTATTAATCAACAACATGATGAAGTAAAATTTCCAAAATTTTGAAAGATGTGGCCCCAGGGTCAGTGGTTCCTGTGGGATGGGGTGCACAACTGATAATGATAAGGCCATAATAAAAATATTCCTAGATTCTCATCCCCGCCCGCCCCGATTTTATACCCCTGCCTCGATTTTTTTTATTTCTGTTTTTCTACGTCTTAATTCTGATCGGGATCGGTATTCATCTACCATTCTACTTTCGTTTTAAATCCCGCAAAAGTCGACATGATTTTGACAGCTGAAAAGATGGTAATTGCTGTAATACATGCGTATATATGTAGGACTCCAAAGTGCGATGGGACTCCAAAGTCCGATGGTCACGCCAAAGTCTGATGGTCTGCGCCAAACCCCGATGGTTTGACACGCCAAAGTCTGATGGTGCGGAAAACAATTAACGTTTATGACGTCATAGCACTGCTGCGCAAAAATGCGATTCCGTGCCATGACAAGGCCCGATTGTTTAAAATAAATACAAATAAACATTCAATGCAAAGACTAACCCTAATATTTTGGATATAGGTGCGAGACTAACACTTATCAGTCAAAAAATGTGCAACAACCATAAGCTATCTTGGATGGGTGCAGGACTAATCTAATTCAGTCCAATAGTGTGCGAGGACTAACCATAAAATTTCTCGAGTGAGTTCGAAGAAACACATTGGTGTTCAAGAACTAACCCTTATCAGTCGAATGGTGTACAAGGGTTAACCCTAATAGCTCTGGTGGGCGAAAACAATAAGCAAATTCAGTAAATTTGTAAGCGGGAAAAATACTAAATTGATGGATTTTGAATGCAGGACAACGTCATGACGTTGGACTATTGTGACGTCATAAACGTTGATTGTTACTCCGCACCATCGGACTTTTGCGTTTCAGACCATCGCACTTTAGCGTCATGCGTCTCATAGGAAACGAGCCATCGGACATTGGCGTGACCATCGGACTTTGGCGTCCGTATAGACAGCGTGCCATCGGGGTTTGGCGAGACCATCGGGCTTTGGCATCACCATCGGACCTTGGAGTCTTACATATATTTTAAACAAGGGTCATTGGTTGAAAAAGATTGGTGATGATGTGAAGTAAGAGATAATTGAACCTTTACTGTGACTTTTATTCGGGTATTGTAGATAAAATTACACAGATTGACCAGGTCAATAAAAAATCTGAAAAATTGAAAAAATAAAAAATATAAAATAAAAGCCGCCCGCCCGCCTCGATTTAAAAAAAAATTCGGACGAGAATCTAGCAATTTATTTATTATGGCCTAAAGTGGAAATGCATTTTTTCTTTGTTACTGTGATCTACATGTACCTGTGGGTATTACTAACCAAAGTAAGCATGCTGAGTGCATAATTATGATAAGCAATGGTACCTCTTTCAGAATTGTGAATTTTATGGCCTCTGGATTAAAACATGAATCAAATTTAATTGTTGGAAAGTTGTTGCATGATACTCAGGTGACCTATAAGGCCCATGGGCCTCTTGTTAAGGTTTAACAGTTCCTTTGTTGTTATTCATTAGCTACATATACCATCTCTGACCATTTCTTAACATTACTACAAGACTTAGATAACTATGAAACCTAATTATTTGTTTCAAGTAATATTCCCAAACCAGTGTCTATCTTCCTTAACCAAATTAATAGGTAACGGTGAATGGCAATTTTATCCCATCCAGCTTTGGTTGTTCACTAGAGGCTCTTGTCCAGATGCATGGACCAATCAGAGAGACTCCTACAGCTCAGCTGATAGAAATAGTGAGTATACTTATACAATAAACTGACCAATCAGAGAGACTCTTACAGCTCAGCTGATAGAAATAGTGAGTACACTAATGTAACAATTAACTGACCAATCAGAGAGGCTCTTACAGCTCACTGAACGAGATAGTGAGTACACTAATGGAATACAATAAACTGACCAACCAGAGATGCTCTTACAACTCAATTGATGGGATAGTGAGAACACTAATGTAATACAATAAACTGACCAATCAGAGAGGCTCTAACAGCTCAACTGAACGAGATAGTGAGTACACTAATGGAATACAATAAACTGGCCAATCAGAGAGGCTCTTTCAGCTCAGCTGTTAGAGATAGTGCTTACACTAATGTAATACAATAAAGTGACTAATCAAAAAGACTCTTACAGCTTAGCTGATAGAGATTATGAGTACACTAATGTAATGCAATAAACTGACCAATTAGAGAGGCTCCTACAGCTCAGCAGATGGAGATAGTGTGTACATTTATGTAACACAATAAACTGACCAATCAGGTAGACTCTTACAGCTCAATAGATAGAGATAGTGAGTACACTTATACTTTAAACTGACCAATCAGAGAGGTTCTTACAGCTCAACTGATAGAAATAGTGAGTACACTAATGTAATACAATAAACTGACCAATCAGAGAGGCTCTTACACCTCAGCTGATAGAAATAGTGAGTACACAAAGGTAATTCAATAAACTGACCAATCAGAGAGGCTCTTACAGCTCAGCTGATAGAGATAGTGAGTACACTAATGGAATACAATAAACTGACCAATCAGAGAGGTCTTACAGCTCAGGATGTGTCATTAAATGAAAAATTAGGGAGTCTGAGAACAATAAGATAGCAAATTTGTTGGTTATAACAAAGACTTTACAAATGACTTCAGGAGCAGCCAGGCAGTCTGATGTCCCGGGATCTAACACAGGGAGGGAGGCTGTACGCTGTACCTAAAGAAGTCTGGAGGCTTGTCGACCATATCTGGCATTACGGGAGAGACCAGGTAGACACTTATCTCATTATTTAGAGATAAAGGAGACAAATTTTGTGTGAAGATACCTGTTATGGTTTATTTTAGTCATAGAAAGGGAGGGGGAGGGGCAAAATCATTACATTGGAAAGGTTAAATTAGACACCATAATGAGAATTTTAGATGCATGCATTTATTTGAGGTAGAAGGGGCCAAAAAAATGAAAATCTGTGTCATAAGTAATATTATTCATATAATAACGTGAGTGAAAAATTATTGACAAGAAAGAAAATCTATAAAAAGCATTCTTTAAGTATTGCCTCAACAATACAAGTCCCATACTGACATATTCATCCCTCTCAATTTTAAAATGCTGTAAATTAATTTTTTTTTAAATCAAAGCATTTACTGTATTGTTTGATTAGGACTTCTTAATAGATGTATATACATTTTTTTTTTCATTTCTTTCCATATGTTACTGGCAGAGTGAGCTGTTTATACAGGCAGGATTAACTAAAGAGCTACAGGCCATCAGAGACTGTCTAGATACGGGTGTACCTGATAAGATCCGTATCCTTTAAAAAAAATAATTAATTAGAAAGTGAGAAATCTGTGATATTTAAAGAAATTTCCTTCTTCAAGAAAAAAAGGAAATAGTACTTTATTTATGTAATATATTATGTAAGACTCGTGAGTCACGATTAGAATAATTAACACTTGGTTTGCCCTTTAAAATGTATATTGAACATCACATTTTTTTAACACCTTGATTTCTTGAGAAAATGTTTCTAATTATTTGGTATAATTTATGAGCAAGAAAAATTTTCTCAAATTATTTCTTAGATGCATCCAATCACATGCTAGAATGAATGGACTCTCAACTAATTTTTATTTGTGTAAATTATTCTTTATTAATGTTAATTAATTAAATGTTTTTGGTAAAATAGAAAGAAAATTTACTTCTATTTACGAAGTGAATATAATTTGATAGATTAACAAAGGAAGTGGTTTATAATATTATTACAAAGTTTTCACAGAAACAAAGATATGATGTCCTTTCAATTTCTTGCAATTCAGTTTCATTCATGTGTTTGTATTTTAATATTTTAATCACATATGCAATGGAAATTGCTCTAAATGTAAATTATTGTAAATTTTATACATAATAATTGATTTTTAGCAAAATTAATCAAATTTTTGGGAGAAAATCATCTCACTTAATTATGGGAAAGTAAAGTTGATGTGAATAAAAGGTGATTTTCTCTATCAATGAAAACTAGTATGGGATTTTGCCTTTACTTACAGATATCAATCATCAAACCCCTTGTCTTTCATTTCTTGATATGTTTTTAATTGTAAATGAATGCAAATAAATAGTATATATTGTAATGTTCCTTAATCTACCATCAGCTGGTAGCATTCACTCCGTGGCCGAGGCCTTGTTACTATTTTTAGAATGCCTCCCTGACCCAGTTATCCCCAGCAGGGTTTACTACAGATGCTTAGAATGTTCTGCCAACTACATGGTCTGTAAACAGGTATGTGGAAAAATTTAATTTCTTTTTTTTATTAAAAATGTTATCAAAACATTTATTATTTGACTCTTTTTATAAAGTATTAATCAAAACCTAAGAACAAAACAAATGACAAGGCTTTACAATGTGCTGATAATATGACATTCTGATCTTGTGTTTCTCCCTGAGAGAGGCAGTTAATTTTCTTAATATTTTCACCTGCTTGTATTAATTAGTCTAATATTTATTCCCTTCTCTAGGTGATTTCCCAGATCCCAGAACACCACAAGAACCTGTTCCGCTATTTATGTGCGTTCTTAAGGGAACTCCTCAACCATTCCCAGCAGAACAACCTGGACATTAATATACTGTGTAAGTGAAAAGGAGTTATATTTCTTCTCCTCTTTATTTCTGCGTTGTGCATCCCTGATGTATCTTTATGAAGGGGTTAGCAACATTCACTACAAATTCTGTTTGGATGAACAAGTACTTTCCGTAATTATAATCCCAAACCTTTAAAATTTTATTCTTTTTAATTATAATTATACTCAAAAATGGAAACCAATAGCAGTAGAAGCAGTTTAAAATATAGACATGTAAAATTAAACAGAATAAATATTTAAGGAATGAAGCTAATTTCAACTTATGTTATACGATATAACATAACTTGGGGCAGTTTACGCTTTATAAACCGCGAAGCGGTTTATAAAAAAGCGTAAACTGTCCCAAGTTTTGTTATATCGTATAACAGAAGTTGAAATTAGCTTTATTCTTTATAACTTAATTTCAGTGTAGACAATGAGACAATTTTTCCTCCAGAATAAGGCTTCAAATTGAGCATTATTTTAAAAGTAACGTCAAGCGGAGTAATACGTTTTTGACGTAATTCATTGTGACGTAGGCAAGTTATGTTATACAAAATATTATACGTTCCTCTGAATGGCTTGATATAAGTGAAATTAAATTATATAATGATACATCTATGATCAGATATATTGCAAATTACATGCAAATATTCCTTTTATATGTGTGGGGGTATACTTGTAAGTATGAAGAGAATGAAGATTTTTTTTTATTAGATTTATATTTATGTTTCACATGATTACTTGTGATTATAACTGCATCAAATTTTTTTATACTTTCTCTATACAATGTAATATAAGTTACTTCCTATCATTTTCTTCAGGACCTTAAAGTTTTAAGTGGGGACAGGCTCATAAAATTATGCAATACACATTTCTTGTGACATTTTTACAGCAAATACAGTGTTGTTTACCATCGCATTAAAAAAGAGTCGATTTGATATAATAATTTTGATTGTTTTGAAAGATATTTCAGAAATTTATTATTGATAATGTGACATTCTATTATGTAGGGTTTTAAAGCTGCACATCTTTGCATTTTTAATTTTATTAAAAGCTAGCTTACCTTTACGTTTTGTACTTTGCAGCCTCTATATTTGGAGAAATCTTCCTGCGTCCCCCTCCTAACACCTTAGCCCGATCTATATCCTCCCCCGCCCAGAAAGCCAGACAGAAGGAGGAGGAGATGAAGAGAGCGGCCTTTGTGGGCCACTTTCTGGCTAACGAGTTTGATGAATAACAAAGCCATACATTAGCCAGCTGTTATGTAGCTTAGTGAATAGTAGGATATAGGATGATAATGTCCTTTAGGTGCTGTGGAGCTATTTTTGTCTTAAGGATCTGTGATGGATAATATTGCATTTATGGTTTTATGAAACACACGGAGAATTCTGGGATATGTGTGAAAGTATCGGTTGATTATTCATGATTGGAATTAATTTATAGGTATCTGCTTGGGACTTTCTTGAAAAATGTTACAAGAGATTAGATAACCTTGAAGGAAAGATTGTTGAAGATGCTGTATTTTACAAGACAAAAAGTTGACAAAAGAGTGTTAAAATTATATTAGAAAGAAAAAGAAATATGCATTTGGATGGAATATACAAAACCAGCACAAAATCAATTCAGAATTGTATTTTGTGATGCAGTGTCAGTTTTAAACCTGATAAATATGCCATTGAATGCCCCAAACTGCTGTTATAGAGAAGGACTTAGTGAAATACATAATTAACCACCAACAATGGCAACATACCAAGTCTAACAGTAAACAGCTGATATTGGGAACACATATACCATTGATACGTTTCTGTGACACTTTCTTTAATGCATTATGCTGAATAAACATTGTTTTAAGAATAGTTTCAATCATATTTTTTATTATTTGTCCTGTGTTACGTTTATTTATGAATCTTAAATTAATGCATGTATCTTATGGATATCTTATTTTATGGATCATTTATTAGAAAAAAATGTCATTA